TGGGGCGGTGGATTTGGCCCTGTGCATTTGGTGATGCTTGGCCCTCTAACCGGGAGCACAGCAACAATCTCTCTAAAGCGGCGGGCAGGATGCAGAAAGCTCTGGGGGAACTGTACAACGTGGGCGCACAACACTACAGCGGTCGGCAACACAGGAAGTATACGCAACTATTTTGTTTGTTCATCTTCCTCATAAGAACTGAACTGGAAACTGAACTGAAAATGAACTTACTTAATATAACTGTATTGGTGGGGTGTTAAAATGTTGGTCTGCTAAAAGGAATGTGGACACACCGTGTTATGGCAAACCTGTTGAAACAACAAGATAGCTTATGACATACAAAATGACGCATCAGAAGAACTAACAGGATATCATGTTACATGACGGTAACCATATAAATGGTAACCATTTCACAGCAGATCGGCAATCGTCAACATGGGTTAATAAGGTTAACATACATGTTGAGACGATTGCATTACTCTATCATAGCATGATATGAAAGCCAATAGCCTTGCCTTCTAAAATACAAAGTGTTAAAATAAATTGCAATACAATAACATACGGACCTATTGACCCGTGGATCTCAAGCAGGTTGTGCAATAGGGGTGTGTGTTATTTATATGTGTCTACGTGTGTGTATGTGTGTCTACGAGTGTGTATGTGTGTCAGAGATTTTGCCCGACCACATTTCTCGCTGTAACGACTCTTCAATGACAGACGAAAAAAGGGAAGTGATGTAAAGTAGAAGCCTTCGATTACCAGTGGAAATGGCACATACCGGCAGACTGTGCCGTGACCACAAAAGTATCTGACCTTTGACCCCAAACCTGATGGGATGTCACATCAAAGAAGGGCGAGATCAGAGGGCCACATTATCTCTATGGGCCATAGGAGTGCTCTCTCATTTGTGAATATTTATAAGGAACAGAGGTCAGGATATTTGACTATACCTTCTAAGGCCATACAAATGTAATTCAATGTTTTGCAGATTAATTTTTTTGTGAGGCGAGCGAGCGAATAAAGATGAAAAAAATTAAAAAGTGGACATACTTGTTAAAATACTATAGCGAACTTAGTTCACACCTAGTGACCTAATCAAGAGATTTGAGCCTCTTGGGGCGGCCAAAAGGGGCATAGTTCAGCCATAATCTGTAAGTAAATTGTGTATCTCTTTACTGGAAGCCATACCATTTTTTCAATTTTTTGGAAAACGGAAGAGGGGCATCTGTAAAACATTGAATTACATTTGTATGGCCTAATCAATGTTTAGCAGTCAAACAAGGAATGGTTCCAATCGTTTTGCCACCATTCATTTTTTCCATAGGGGATTTTAGAAACACTTAAAATAAGGGCTGTGTCTCGTGTAGGCTTACCCTGGCATGTATCCATATTAATGGTGGAAAAACAATTGGAACCATTCCCCTGTTTGACCGCTAGGTTTTATGGGTATTATGACACCACCGCTGTGGGGCTATATAACACTATCATCTAGAGCAGGGTTCTTCAATCCTGGTCCTGGAGGGCCGAAACACTTCTGTTTTTTATTTCTACCTGGTAGTTAATTGCACTCACCTGGTGTCCCAGGTCTGAATTAGCCCCTGATTAGAAGGAGAGGATGAAAAACAGAGGTGTCTCGGCCCTCCAGGACCAGGATTGAAGAACCCTGATCTAGAGGGTTACTTCCGTGTTAAAGGGCCTCTGTTAAGGCTGTTAGGATGACATGTCAAAATATAATCATGACGACACTGTGACACATAAATCACAAGACAGACTTTGGTACACGTATGCCGGCGCGCTTGTCTCTCTATGATCAATGCTGTCTTTGTTGTCAGGCTGAATTTGAATGCAGTCTTTGAGTGAATGAATAGTTGGGAAAACAAGGCATATATAAAAAGAGCGACTGGCAGCAAGCTACTTTGTACTTTGACGCTGATGTGTGATTCTATGTATCCAAAATGGCACTCTATTCCCTATAAAGTGCACTACTTTTGACCAGAGTCTCATGGTCCCTGGTCAAAAATAGTGCATTAAATCGTGAAAAGGGTGCCATTTGGGAAGCATCCAGTTCCTACTAGATGGGGCCCCAGTCGCTGTAGCTACAGTAGCACCTGTTAGAATGGGCAGGGGGTCAAAGGTGGGATCCTTAACAGCCCTGCAACAGAGAAGGAAGAGGAGCTGCAAGCTAGAGCAACATTAAAGAACATGGGGAGCTATTGTGCTATCCTAATTATGCACGAACATTCTGCTGACAGAAGGTGTACCGTCGGCCGCTATTTCAAATTCATAATGGGGAAATACTTAAGTCATTTAAATCCCCTTCCACTGTTTGAGCAGTTGATATCTACAACAGATTGAATAATTTCATTTTAACATTACGACCTTCCATTTAATTTTCCTTCCGTCTTTCAAGTTGATCAACTGACCTCATTTCAATCTTTTAAAAGGTTTGCCAATCAAAATACTATCATGCTTCAACAATTTATAGTACTGTGTATAATTCAGTTGATGTTGCCTTTACCATTCGGGTTGATTCTATTAAAGGCAGAAAAAATATATTGGTGGGTTGCTTGTGTGTATACTCCATTACTGTTAATAATGTCCTGAGCCTATTTTGCCCGTTTGTCCGTGCAACCTAACTTACAACCTCAATCTTCTGGGCACAATAACAGACATGCTTTCATATTTCACATTGCAGTTCCATACAGGTGTCCTTCCATTAACCTAAAGCTGCTGTACTCAGTAAAGTGCTGTCCTTATGTGGAACATCCAGTGCATGTTCAGTTTTCACTGAAGGAAAATATAGTGAATAGAGTAGACACAAATGTCTCAATCCAAGCTCACTGAAGCCAAGATAATAGTAGCTCACTGAGGATTTGAATAGGGGCCATGCTAGAGCCAATCAAATAGTTATTCCGTAAACCTGAATCTGCGTTAGTAAGTAGTGTGCTGTCCATATGTGTCCTTAAATGTGCAGTATTCTCTCGAGAAAGACTAGTGAACAGAATGGACAAAAAGGGTTATTTCCATTGGTCGCCATCCAAGCTGATTGAAGCAGAGTTGCTCACTGAGTTGCTCACGGAGTTGCTCGCTGATGTTTTGAATGGCAACAACAACTTGATTGGCTCTGGTTATATCTGGGTGTCATGAGTCTATTTGTGGTTGTTATGGCTGCATCAATGGGTGTTATGAGTCTATTTGTGGTTATGGCTGTATCGATGGGTGTTATGAGTCTATTTGTGGTTATGGCTGTATCGATGGGTGTTCTGAGTATGTTTTATGGTTGCACCTATGGCTGATATGTCAAATCATGTCATGACTCATCAATCATGTCTACCCATCAGTCAATACTATTAAATCAAATTGGCAACAGGGAATTCAGGCAAAACACTATATTTGCCGCTGTTATACAGAATGGTTGAATAAATATCCAGTTAAGTTAGCTTTTGTTTCACAGGTGTAGGAACAGTTCCATTAAGCGTACAATCATGAGCACAAAGAAGACAGAACAACTACTGATGGTGATGGACAATATCTGCATGTTTTCTTTGACAAAGTGAGAAAATGGCCATGAAACAGTCCATGAAATGAAAAGCAAGAAAAATGTATTGTGCTGAATAGTATGTTATATTGTATGGGTTGTTCAATACGACCTCTAATAAACTGCCATGTGTATTTGTTCTTGTGAAAGGCACACAGTGATAGTTTGCTGTTTGGTGAGACACTGCTTACAGAGAGCAACAATGGACAATCTAAAACCTTCACAAAGGCACAACAAATAACATTCATTACTTGAGGCATTTCTGTTGTAAGCCCAGACAGTGGATTATGTAGAGAAGGCATAACTCTTATTCCTTAAAGAGACCCTCAAGCCAAACTTTATCTCCAGGGCTATCACTAAAGGACACTGGGTTAAAGGTGTGTGTGTTTGTGTACGCTTTCACTGCAGCAGCACAGTAAAGTACAGTATGACCCTTTCTCTCCAGTAAACTGAGATACACAGTTACATAACAAAAACATATTGCACATAGAATTATACATCAGTTTTCATAGATGTCCCACCTCTATTTCTATAGTCCCATCCTTACAGCACTGAAAGCGAATTACAGTGGTGGATATTGGCTGACTATATTTAGGATCCGACTGAATACAAGCTACTGGCATACCATGCATGGACATCAACAGAGCAGAGTTTGAAACAATATACATTTATTACATAGCACACGCAGGATTATCAAGCAGATTATCAAAAGTATAAATATATTAACCAAAATAAAATACAAAAATCATGGGCACAAAAATGTAGCTCAATCTGAGGTACAGACAGCAGTCAAACATACATCCAATCTCTGTAGAAGCACTAGATATTGAAGAGTTCCTCATCCAATTTGAGGTCAAAGCTCAAACGTCATTCAGAGGAGAGAGAGAGGGGGGGGGGGTGGCGGGTAGGGGAGGAGAGAGATGGAGAGAGAGACCACTTTGCGAGCTACAGCTCAACAGTATACTTGAGAATTGCTTGGAAAGCACAGATGCGCTGACCTTGCTGCATGCAGGTGTCAGTGCTCTGTCAAGAGGAACAGACAACAACTGGACCAGAAGCTAATGAGGTTCAGTATAGCAGTGACCTCATGGGGGAGAAACACAGTGATATTGATATTCATGATTTCATAAAGAAATGTTGTCTCTTTCCGAATTAGCACTCTATTCCCAATATCATGTACCAAGTAGTGTATTAAGATGACACTCTATATGGAATAGGGAGCCAGTACCAGCCTTAGAGGGTGGAAAATGTGACAATGAACTAAAGGATAGTGGTGGGAGAGGGTCCTAAGCCTAAGGAAGGAGGCTGTATCTTATATTAATTACACTGTCTATGCGAGAAGTCTTCAAATAGCTATTACATTTTTTTTTTATAAAAGGAGAATAAAAAATGGACAGCCCTCCAGCCTCCTAAATATTTGAAGCATTGTTATCTCCTCATTTTGTATCTTCAATTTAATCACCTTTTTCTCCTTTCTCCTCCTCTTCTGAGTACGAGCAGTACAGGCTTTTTGCAGCCTGCATTCTAATGAGGAAGAGTGAGGAAGGTTGTGTAACGAGGCGGTATGCTTATATAAGACGGGGGTTGTTGACAGAATGTGCAGGACCTGGGCTCTGATAGAGAGAGAGAGAGAGAGAGAAAATAGATTTTTAAAGGGGTGCTGCCCATGCTAATAAGAGCTTTCTGGAGAAACGCAAGCCTCGTCGGATGTCCTGTGTGGTCCTATGTGGCTCAGTTGGTAGAGCATTGCACTTGCAACGCCAGGGTTGTGGGTTCGATTCCCATGGGGTACCAGTACAAATGAAAATGTATCCACTCACTACTGTAAGTCTCTCTGGATAAGAGCGTCTGCTAAATGACTAAAATGTAAAAAATAAAAGGTAAATGTCTGGGAGTCTTCTGATATTAGAAAAGACTATGTACAGAACACCACCCCCCAAATAAAGACATATCTGAATATGATTAGTGAACTATTGGGGGTGTGTGTGTACACCTCTGGCTGCTGCAGTGTTAGGAGATAACAGGCTCTCTCTTTAGGGGCTTTTCTTTTGGCATCCTATACTGTATTTGCGTTTGATTCTTGAAACATGACCTATTTAGGCAGAATGCTAAGCAAACACAACAGCATGGCTTCCCATCACATCAAACTGTGCATTATAAAGTTGTTTTTCCTCATACATGTATTCCTAGACATAAATATCTAACTTACAGATAACAACTCAATCAACAAAGCCGCTCTGAAGCATCACTTCAACTTTAACATACACAGGGAAAAGGTTGCTTATCAAAAATATAGTTCATATGTAGTAAGCCTTTCAATTATAGAGTACTTCATCTAGACTGCATGTTTGAATTACACAGTTGTTTATATGTAATAATATTTCAATTAGCCTACAGTTGTATGTACCGGACCATTCAGTTATAAAGTAACTCATCTAGACTGAATATTCTACAGTCATTCATATGTATCAAGACATCGTGTTACAATATATATACAGAAGTTTATGAGTACTGAATTGAGATGTCTTTCATAAGTAGTTGTGAACTTTGTTGAGCTGTGTTTCTTAGCAAACAGCATTGTTCTGTACAGTAGTAGTTGATGTGTACAGTACTGCGTTGAGTTGCCATGTGTTCAGGTGTATTTCACCTTCACACAGAAGGTCTCCTCCGTGGTCTCCTCCTGGTTGTTGACATAGATGAGGATCTCCTGGTCACCAGGACTTCGGCTGGGGGCGAAACGCAGCCCGATGCGGTATGTCTCCCCTCCTCCAATCTACAGGGAAAGAGCAGGGTTGTGTTCATTAGGTACCAAATGGAAGAAAAACGGACAGAAACAGGGACGGGTTACCAGAGCTCGTCCAATAAGAAACAAAAATGTTTTTGTTTTTTTGTGGCAAAAAGTTTTGTTAAGTTTAGCTACAGTGTGACATAATGAATGGCATCCAGGTTTCAACCCACAGGTGCACTGTAGCAACTGGGTTGTGTTCAGTAGGGTGAAAATGTTTTGAAATGGGGAGGTACGACCTGATCTCGTCCAATAAGAAGATAGGTTTTTGTGTTCCTTTGAAAAACCTTTTGCTACGATGTGTCCTACTGAACTCGACCCTGGACATATCTCTTCTGTTATACAGTGCCTTCAGCAAGTATTCACACCCCTTGACTTTTTCTACATTTTGTTGCGTTACAGCCTGAATTTAAAATTGATTAAATTGACATTTTGTCTCACTGGCCTACACACAATACCCAATAATGTCAAAGTATAATTGTTTTAGGACATTTTTACAAATTAATAAAAATTCAAAGCTGAAATGTCTATCAAGTATTCAACCCCTTTGTTATGGCAAACCAAAATAAGTTCAGGAGTAAAAATGTGCTTAACAAGTCACATAATAAGTTGCATGGACTCTGTGTGCAATAATAGTGTTTTACATTATTTTTCAATGACTACCTAATTTCTGTACCCCACACATACTATTATCTGTAATGTCCCTCAGTCGAGCAGTGAATTTTAAACATAGACTCAACCATAGAAACCAGGGAGGTTTTCCAATGCCTCGCAAAGATGGGCACCTAAAAAAAAGCAGACATTGATGCACCTTTGAGCTTGGTGAAGTTATTAGTTACACTTTGGATGGTGTATCAAAACACCCAGTCACTACAAAGATACGGGCATCCTTCCTAACTCAGTTTCCGGAGAGGAAGCAAACCGCTCAGGGATTTCACCATGAGGCCAATGGTGACTTTAAAACCGTTAGAGAGTTTAATGGCTGTGATAGGAGAACACTGAGGATGGATCAACAACATTGTAGTTACTCCACAATACTAACCTAAATGACAGTGAAAAGAAAGAAGCCTGTACAGAATATAAATATTCCAAAACACGCATCCTGTTTGCAATAAGGCACTAAAGTAAAACTGCAAGAAATGTGGCAAACAAATTAACTTTTTGTCCTGAATACAAACCATTATGTTTGGGGCAAATCCAACACAACACATCAGAGTACCACTCCTTATATTTTCAAGCATGGTGGTGGGTATGCTTGTCATCGGCAAGGACTAGTGAGTTTCTGTATTTCATTTTCAACAAATTTATAAAAAGCTTGTTTTCACTTTTTATTATGGGTTATGGTGTGAAGTAAAACAATTTTTAATCCCTTTTTAATTCAGGCTGTAACACAACAAAATGTCCAATAAGTCAAGGAGTATGAATACTTTCTGAAGGCACTGCAACCTTAATATTCTTTAATGACATTTAAAAGAAGCATATGTGATGCGTTTTTAGATTATTGCTTTTTAGGTGTATTTCACCAGAGTACTATAGTACATTGTTTATAATCCTCTTGCTATATTTACGCCACGGCATTTGACTGTGATTACAACACATAATATCTATTAGGGATGTGTGGCGATACGACAACAATAGATTTGTGTAAAAGCTCAAATCAACAAAACGGTTTGCCACTATAATTGGCTCATTAGAGGAAAGTCAACTGGAATTAGTCATTTTGTAAAAAAGGGACATTGTTTTCTACAACACCCGGTGTTCCCACCATAAATTGTAAGCTCTTGAAACTACATGCTCTTTGTATTGTTGTTTTGTTGTTCTCTTCCTCCAAATTAACTCCAGCCAGTGTGTTGTGTTATGCTTTGATTATTACCCGAATTCCATATGCTTATGGTTTGTTTGCACCTCGCCGCTCTGTTCATTATTTGGACATTTTAATAAAGACTAAATTCCAATGGCTGCATTTCGTGTAATGGCCAGCTAAGATATATGGTTCAATGTGTGAGATTTATCCGGTAATTTCTGGAAAACTATAATATCGATCCTTGCTCTGCTTTTTTTGCTTCCCAATTGTTTTTATTATGGCAGGGTAGTTATCTTTTGGGGTAGGGAAAATTACTCTATTCAACATTTTAAAGATATAGACCACATCAATTGTTTAGAGCGAATTGAGCCTGAAGCTATGTTGACTAAATGGAAAACACAGTTGGTTATTTTTCCTCACCCCTCTCTCTCTCTCCCTCTGTCTCTCTCCATTTGGTTAAGCATCATCTGCATGCAAGCGGTAGAAACATAAACAGATTTTTGAAGGAGTTCATTTTCCATTGGCAGCCTGTTCATTTAAATCCCAGTGATTCTATTTCCATTTACACCGCTGCTTGCTCTATGAGACCGTCTCGCAAATGACAGCGAACGAAAAGCCAATGACGTTGAGACGACTTGTTTACGTCGTGATGTTTATGACCTGTTTATGGAGTCAATGAATCTCCTATGAGACACTGGCGCTAATGACAGAACATGGAAAAAATCTACAGCTATAATGGACGTGTTCTATTATTCATATTAGGTCAAATCAATTCAAATAACATTTTATTGGTTGCGTCTACAGATCTGCAGATGTTATCGCAGGTGCAGCGAAATGCTTGTGTTTCTCGCTCCAACAGTGCAGTAATCCCTAGCAATAATAAACTAAAATAAAAATAACAATACACATAATCTAAAAAAATTAAGAAATTAAGAAATATCAGAACGAGTAATGTCAGAGACCGGAATATAAATATATATATATATATATATATATATGTATATATATATATATATATATATACACTGAACAAAGATATAAATGCAACATGTAAAGTGTTGGTCCCTTGTTTGATGAGCTGAAATAAAAGATCCCAGACATTTTTCATACGTATTTCTCTCAAAGCGTATTTCTCTCAAATGTTGTGCAGAAATTTGTTTACATCCCTATTAGTGAGCATTTCTCCTTTGCTCCCAAGTGGGTGGACCTTTGCCCTCCCAGGCCCACCCATGGGTGCGCCCCTGCCCAGTCATGTGAAATCCATAGATTAGGGCCTAATTAATTTATTTCAATTGACTGATTTCCTTATATGAACTGTAACTCAGTAAAATCGTTGAAATTGTTACATGTTGCATTTACATTTTTGTTCAGTTTACATATCATATACACTGAGTAAACAAAACATTAAGAACACATGCTCTTTCCATGACAGACTGACCAGGTGAAAGCTAGGATCCCTTATCGATGTCACTTGTTAAATCCACTTCAATCAGTGTAGATGAAGGGGAGGAGACAGGTTAAAGAATGATTTTTAAGCCTCGAGACAATTGAGACATGGATTGTGTATGTGTGCCATTCAGAGGGTGAATGGGCAAGACATAATATTGAAGTGCCTTGAACGGGGTATGGTAGTAGGTGCCAGGCGCACCAGTTTGAGTGTTTCAAGAACTGCAACGCTGCTGGGTTTTTTATGCTCAATATTTTCTCGTGTGTATCAAGAATGGTCCACCACCCAAAGGACATCCAGCCTAGTTGACACAACTGTGGAACGCTTTCAACACCTTGTAGAGTCCATGCCCCGATGAATTGAGGCTATTCTGAATAAAGGGGGTCCAACTCAATATTTGGAAGGTGTTCCTAATGTTTTGTACACTCAGTGTTTATAAATATATATACATATAATGGTGTGTTTTGTATGTAAACATTATTAAAGTGACTCTGTACATAGGGCAGCAGTCTCTAAGGTGCAGGGTAGAGTACTGGGAGGTAGCTGGCTAGAATGGTGACTAAGGCTAGTGGTGACTGTTTAACAGTCTGATGGCCTGGAGGGTAAAGCTGTTATTCAGTCTCTTGGTCCCTGCTTTGATGCACCTGTACTGCCTTCTAGATGGTAGTGGGGCGAACAGGACGTGGCTCTGATGGCTGAGGTCCTTGATGATCTTCTTGGCCTTCCTGTGACACCAGGTGCTGTAGATGTCGTGGAGGGCAGGCAGTGTTCCCCCAGTGATGTGTTGGGCTGACCGCACCACCCTCTGGAGAGCCCTGCGGTTGCGGACGGTGCAATTGCATACCAGGCGATGATACAGCCCGACAGGATGCTCTCAATGGGCCATCTGTCCAAGTTCGTGAGGGTCTTAGGGGCCAAGACAAATTTCTTCAGCATCCTGAGGTTGAAGAGTTGCTGTTGCACCTTCTTCACTATACTGTTTGTGTGAAGAAGGTTGTTGGTAATCAGGCTTACCACTGTTGTGTCATCAGCAAACTTGATGATTGAGTTCGAGATGTGTGTGGCCACGCAGTCATGGGTGAACAGGGAGTACAGGAGGGGGATATGGAGAGATTAAATATGTCCGTAAACACATAAACTAACGACTTGTTAGTGTCACTGGTCTGCCCCAGAGCCAAGAACTAGAGAGAGATCGGACGTGTAGTTAGCGGATTGTATTCATTCGATGTAGTCCTTTTCAGTGTCAGTCTGGTGTCTTCCGTTTAGTGCATAATGAATACGGTCCAGGTACATTACGACACCCAATTACCTCCAGGCAAGTTTGAAAACAGAAAAGGATGGTCTCTCTCCCTCCCCCTCTCCCTCCCTCCACTCCTCATTAAATGTCAGTTTGAACAGAGACATGACAAGAGGGCAGCGTTGTGCTTTGTTGTGGTGCTCACCTCAAAACGGTCCTCTTTAAACTGGAGCAGGTCAGGGTGGTCTGACCGTAGCAGGAGGACACGGCTGGTGGGGTAGGGATTGGTGTAAGTGATCTTCCGGGTGCTCCCCCGACCCCCTCCCACCGGAGCACACATTTCAAAAGCCTGCCAGAAGAGCGATACACAACACAGGTCTAGGATCAGTTAAGCCTCCTCAGAATTCTATCCTTAACCATTAGGGGGGAATAAAAAACTGACCTTAGATCACATCTATGGGAGAAACACTATTCTAGAAACACATAACACTCCCAGTAGAAACATGCCCTTAGAAACAAGTCTAGGATCAGTTTAGTTTTGATCAGATCCTGACCTCAACCCATTAGGGGGGTAAATGAAAAACAGACCTTAGATCTGTCTGTAAAGCATGTGAAACAAGTGACACAAATCCAAATGGTGCAATAGAATTAATATCAGTGTAGAATGCAACAGAAAGACACATGTTGACATTCGAAGCAAATAGCTGGTATGGATGAAACGGAGTCTTATTCATTAGGCACCAAACTGAACAAAACGGACTGAAACAGGGATGGACTACTAACTGAACATAACCAATAAGAAATGCTTGTTTTCCTTTTCCATTGCTAAACGTTTTTCTACGTTGTGCACTAATGAATATGAAACCTTATCATTTAGGGGCTGTTCATCGTTCGCCCCTGAGAGAGAAAGGAAACAGGGCACACTATCAGATTGTGAATCTAAAATTGGTGATTATATCAATGCTTAGAAGAAGGTGCCCAGATTGACAATACGGAGAGATAAAAGAGAGTCAGAGCCATTGAGGATTAAAGTCACATAACATTATGTGCATATAAAATCGTACAATCTCACAGACGCACCAAAAACATATGATACTGTTATTGTGAGCTCCACGAAGATCTCACAAAAACAGTCTCTTTATTCATAATTTAGCAGAGGATCATAACAGTGGAGAGCAACAAAATAATGTTATTTCGGGTGCGTTTCTTGTCATCGTGACATCATAAGGGGAATAAGGGTTCCACTGCATTGCACACATCTTTGTGAGACTGCACTGCGCCATTCAGTCGTTCAGACAGTTTCAGTACCCATCTAGGAGATAATGTATGCTAAGGTTATAACAGCCAAACTATAGGAGACACCTTTAAAGAGCATGGCACTAATCCCAAATGGCACCATATTCCCTATATAGTGCACTACTTTTGGCCAGGGCCCATAGTGCTTTGGTCAAAAGTAGTGCACTATGTAGTAGGATATATGATGCCATTTGGGATGCAGTCCATGTCATTACCCAGCCATCTCCAGTGCCAGGAATCCCTCTCTCTCCCTCTCTTTATCTTGCTCTCCTTTAACTGCAGGTGCCCTTTATTGAACATCTTTTGGGGACACATTATCCTGCTTTGACCCACAGTGCAAGCGTCTGAGTGTGTGTGTAATAGGTCCATATGTCTGTGTGTGCGTGTGAATAAGTGTCTATGTGAGAAAGAGAGAGAATGAAAGACTGTGTATGGGAGAAAGAGAGCTAAAGACAAAGAGAGCAAGAGAGAGCGAGAGAGTGAGAGACAGGCAGAGAAAGAGAGCGAGAGAGGCAGAGAGACAGACAGTGGTGGTTTCACCTTGGAGAGGATGGGCAGGCGACAGGTGAGGCTGAGGAGCCAGGAGGCCACCAGCGTGTGTTGCTCCACGTCCACCACGGTGAGGTAGCAGAAGCGGCTGCCCGCCCGCAACGGACACACACACAACTGCAGGTCCTGTACCATGCCCGGGAGGAGGACAAACACCTCCGCTGGGTCCACCTGGGAGAGGGGAGGAGGGAGGGAAGGAGAGGGAAGGAGGGAAAAGGGGGGGGAAGAGAGAGAGAGAGACAAAGGGAGAGAAAGGGAGGAAGGGGAAGAGAGGGAATTGGGGATTGGGGGAGAGAGAGAGAGAAAGAGAGATGAGATGGGGAGAGAGAGGAACATTGCTCCCATTCAACCCACTCAAAACACAGAACCTGCTCAATAGGTTCAACAGCCTTTGTAGGACTCGCTCTCATGTAACAATACATACTAGTCAGATTACCTGCTAAGAGCAACAAAATAATCAATTGCAATGTTGTCTTTGAAATATAGACTAGAACCAGCCTCTAAATGAGTTATTCATTAAATATTTATCTTTGGTGAAAACATATAAAACATGCATATCCTTCTCTACAGTGAGCATGACTTTATTCCACAGTGAATATAATAGAATAACAGTTGTGACAGTCAGATTAGATCATCCACATATAACAGCAACATTCACACATGAAAGATACAGATATCATTCAGCATTTCAAAATGAAGGCCAGTACAGTATGTCATTCAGTCTAGAGTGAATATAGACTAAGGTTGCGTCTGAAATGGCACCCTATTCCCTTTATAGTGCCCCACTTTTGACCAGAGCCCTATGGGCCCTATATAGTGCACTACTTCTGACAACAGCCCATAGGGCTCTAGTCAAAAGTGGGGCACTATGTAGTGAATAGGGAGCAATTTTGGACGCACAGCCTAACTCTATCAACAATGGTGGCAGAGAGACACCGGACAGCCAGTTGTACCTTGAGCTCCTGCGGGTGCGAGGTGTAACACCGGACCTTCCGGATGGCTTGGGTGCCCCGTATTACCAGTGATTGACAGGTTCGCTGGCCAGTCACACAGCTGATATCCACCCGTTGCAGGAAGTGCACATATACCTGCCAGATCTGGGCAGGCACCGCCAGCCACTTATCACTATGGAGACATCAGGCGAGAAAACAATTAGGTCTCAGAGCGAATCGACTCATAACGAGAGAAGGAGGGGCAGAGCTAATGATGAGTTGACTTATCTCTGTGACGATAAGAGACATCAGCGATTCAGTCATTTTTGAGCACCTTGTCTGATAGCTCTGGGTTGCATCCCAAATGGCACCCTATTCCCTATAAAGTGCACAACTTTTAACCAGAGCTCTATGGGCCCTGGTCAAAAGTAGTGCACTATATAAGAAACAGGGTGTCATTTGTGAAGCACCCCCGGGCTAGGAGATATCATAGGAATCATTCTCATTGCTTCGAGTTTCAGTTGACTCTGATAATGGTGATTCCAGAATGAGCTGTGGCTATGGAGGTCAAAGGTTGCCTCTTCAGCCTAATCATCCCTCTCCTGAGATTACAGGCCAGGGACAAGAGAGAAGTCGTCCCGTTCGAAGTTTGATGAGGAAAATGGATTCTGCCATGTGAAGCAATCAGCCCGGTGAATCCGACATACTGATTAAATCAATGAGATTAAGGCCCCGCATGAGCAATCTAATCAGAGGATCATCGCCGGAACCAACGGCCATCAGTTTCATCCACACTGGGATGGGTAGGATGGGGCAAGTGTGTGTCAGTGGCGACCCTTCCATTAGGGCATTAGGGGCGGCGACGCACTTGTGATTGGTCCGAATTTTATTTTATTTTAAATAGTAAAAATATATGTTTTGTACAATTGATATGGATACAATAGTTTTTTGTAAAATGTATATGGATTACGCTTAAAATTCTCATTAAAGTGTGGTAAATGTGTGTACATTTTACTGTTTAAAAAATATATTGTTCAAAACAAGCTGTTACCTACTACTCTGCCAGCAGCAGCTCCGGGCACCAGGGCCTGGTGCCCAGTGCTCGGATTGCATTGCCAGCTTTTACATTGCTTGTTATTTGTGTGTGTGTGTGTGTGTGTGGGTGGGGGGGGGTTCAAGTCACAGCACAAAGTAAATGGACCGTCCTCAGGCGCTGAAATGAGTACCCAGATCATCTGGATCTGCTCTGTCAGGTACTCAACAGATGGTGCTAAAGAGCTAATTGCAATTGTCTTTCAAATAAATAATCAGACCAGTCATTGGGAACCTGGGACCTGATAAACCGGACATCCATTTCCAACAACAGTTGAAGGACATAGGGATGCAGTAGATAGAACCTTCTCACAGACCTGGTAGGACAAAAAAAGCATGGCTCTGTGGCTGCCAGCAACACTTCATCAGATGTTTACTAGTGGCGACATGTTGTGTGGACTAAAACAAGATAAAACCGTGTGTGTCACAAAGCATGATCAACTTAATTAGCCAGCTATTAGCCAGTAATTAGCTACCGGTAGCTTGCTAGTTCGCATGCCAATTTCATGTGCATCTGAACTAATAACTTAAAATCTGAATTATTAAAGATGCGCTATGCAGAAAATACACACAATACTCCATAATGACAAAGTGAAAACAGGTTTTTATACATTTTTGCAAATGTATAAAAAATATAATAAACAGAAATACCTTATTTACATAAGTATTCAGACTCTTTGCTATGAGACTCGAAATTGAGCTCAGGTGCATCCTATTTCCATTGATCATCCTTGAGATGTTTCTACAACTTGTTTGGAGTCCACCTGTGGTAAATTAAATTGATTGGACATGATTTGGAAAGGCACACACCTGTCTATATAAGGTCCCACAGTTGACACTGCATGTCGGAGAAAAAACCAAGCCATGAGGTCGAAGGAATTGTCTGTAGAGCTCCGAGACAGGATTGTGTCGAGGCACAGATCTGGGGAAGGGTACCAAGAAATGTCTGCAGCATTGAAGGTCCCCAAGAACACAGTGGCCTCCATCATTCTTAAATGGAAGAAGTTTGGAACCACCAACACTCTTCCTAGAGCTGGCCGTCCAGCCAAACTGAGCAATTGGGGGAGAAGGGCCTTGGTCAGGGAGGTGACCAAGAACCTGATGGTCACTCTGACAAAGCTCCAGAGTTCGTCTGTGGAGATGGGAGAACCTTCCAGAAGGACAACCATCTCTGCAGCACTCCACCAATCAGGCCTTTATGGTAGAGTGGCCAGACGGAAGCCACTCCTCAGTAAAAGGCACATGACAGCCCGCTTGGAGTTTGCCAAAAGCCACCTAAAGACTCTCAGACCATGACAAAAAATTATCTGGTCTGATGAAACCAAGATTGAACTCTTTGGACTGAATGCCAAGCGTCACGTCTGGAGGAAACCTGGGAGACTAGTCAGGATCAGCACAACGACCCTAATCACACAGCCAAGACAATGCAGGAGTGGCTTCTGGGACAAGTCTCTGAATGTCCTTGAGTGGCCCAGACAGAGCCCGTACTCTGGAGAGACCTGAAAATAGCTGTGCAGCGTAGTTCCAAATTTCAGCTCTGCTAGAGCTGCCCCGGTCAACTCTAAGTGCTGTTAATGTGAAGTGGAAATGTCTAGGAGCAACAACGGCTCAGCCGCGAAGTGGTAGGCCACACAAGTTTACAGAACGGGATCGTTCTGATGCACGTGAAAATCGTATGTCCTCAGTTGCAACATTCATTACCGAGTTCCAAACTGCCTCTGGAAGCAACGTCAGCACAAGAACTGTTCGTCGGGAGCTTCATGAAATGGGTTTCCATGGTCGAGCAGCCGCACACAAGCCTAAGACAATGCAATGCCAAGCGTTGGCTGGAGTGGTGTAAAGCTCGCCGTCATTTGACTCTGGAGCAGTGGAAACGCGTTGTCTGGAGTGATGAATCACGCTTCACCATCTGGCAGTCCGACGGACGAATCTAGGTTTGGCGGATGCCAGGAGAACGCTACCTGCCCCAATGCATAGTGCCAACTGTACAGTTTGGTGGAGGAGAAATAATGGTCTGGGGGTGTTCGGGCTAGGCCTTAGTTCCAGTGAAGGGAAATCTTAATGCTACAGCATACAATTACATTCTAGACGACTCTGTGCTTCCAACTTCATGGCAACAGTTTGGGGAAGGCCCTTTCCTGTTTCAGCATGACAATGCCCCTGTGCACAAAGCGAGGTCCATACAGAAATGGTTTGTTGAGATCGGTGTGGAAGAACTTGACTGACCTGCACAGAGCCCTGACCTCAACCCCATCGCCCAACATCAGTGCCCAACCTCACTAATGGTCTTGTGGCTGAATGGAAGCAAGTCCCCACAGCAATGTTCCAATATCTAGTGGAAAGCCTTCCCAGAAGAACGGAGTCTGCTATAGCAGCAAAGGGGGGACAAACTCCATATTAATGTCCATGATTTTTGGAATGAGATGTTCGACGAGCAGGTGTCCACATACTTTTGGTCATGTAGTGTATCTATGTGTGCATGTGTGGTGTGTGTGTGTTTATGTAGGATACATACGTGAACACTGTGACGAAGAACTTTCGGATTTGCGGGCTCGGACTGCCCGGCACTTTCAAATACACATCTTGAGGCTCCCCTTGTGCCTGTCAAAGAGAAATCCCATTGAGGTTTATTGACGCATTTAGTGGAAATTCACTCTTTCGTGGAATGTTTTCAGTGGCCGATACCCATGTTATGCAATTACAAATGTCTTTCAAAACACAGCAGTTAGCCTCTTTTTGAATTCTGAAACCTTGCACATTTTAGTTTTCGTTAGCAAATCGGTTACATAATTCAACATCCATTCCTCGGGGGAACACCTTTTTGTTTCATCCCAGCACTAACAATTTAGATTAAACTAATCAAGGGCTCGGTGAACAGATGATTAGTGCTGGGATAGATAAAAATGTGAACCCCCTGAGGTTACCCCCGGGAAATGGAGTGAGAGTTGCCGTCGTAATTAACTCACACACCCCAGTTTCAGCGCTGGCCCGATTATCAGAGCAAATGATTCCATTCATTCTCTTACCAACATCTTTGTTTCACAGATGACGTTGGGGTCACTGCAGCGCACTGAGATCTGAGACCCAGCATCTGTGTCTCCAACTGGTGAGCACGGCCAGGCCAACACGCCAGACAGAGACAGAGAGAATTGGACAGGGAGATAGATAGAGGGGGATAAAAGAGAGGGAAAGAGAACAGAGAGAACAAACTGAGCATTTAGTGCACAACTGGTGGCGAGTGTGTGTGTGTGTGTGCGTTTGTCTGTGACTACATCTCTTTCTGTGTGTGTGTGTATGTATGTGTGTGTGTGTGTGTGTCTGCAATTGCATCTCAGTGTGTGTTAGCGTGTCTGTCTATCTGTGTGTGTGTGTGTGTGTGTGTGTGTGTGTGTGTGTCTAGGCTAAATGGGGCTAATAGTGGGCACCTGGCGTTCTCTCCCAGGGGGGCAGGCGCAGGGCCTTCTTTAGAAAGGACAGCTCTGGCTGGTAGAAGCGGAATGTCTGGTCGATGGCGTGCGGCGTGGGCTCCACGCTCACCTGGCAGATGGCCAGCGGCTTGCCGTCCTCTGCCCTGAACGTCACCTGCGGGTAGGGTTGGGGAGGGGGAGGGAAGGGTGGATTACAAAGGAAAGTGGAGGTTTCATATTGAAAAAGGTAAAGTTTGAGGAGAATAATGCTTACTACTGCCTGTAGCGAAAGTAAACAATGAATTATCGTGGATGCTGTTATTACTGGCCCACATAGACAACTCAAGGTAAGAGCAATTTAAGTTAGAGGAGAATGCTTTATGTAGTCTTGATACAGTTACAATAAACTTAAGACGTATACTATTTGAACCCAAGTCTGGTATAGATACACATTGTTATAGAGTGCAAAGACAGGACCTCTCATTTGTGTTATCACGCACACACAGTACTGCTGTTGTGAGCAGGATTTCTGTCTGTCAGAGGTCAGTTTCCATTAAACCCACTGAAACTGACACACAACCCCAACAGCTGTCAGCAGGCCAACACTGGCACCACCCACAGCACTTTCAAACGCATCATCAAAGGGGGACAGAAACTGGGGCCTGTAGGTAATCGGGGGCTCACAATGTGTTTAAAGTCAGGCTTGACTGTAGTTTGAGAGTCTCGCTTTAACAATACACTGACTGTGATGATAGATTGGGTTGCCATATGTTATCATAATGAGTTTAGCAGGTTCTATTGGGCATAAGTCCAGCCGATTTTAGAATTCATAGTGTAGGTCAAAAAGAGGGTTGTTGGCACAAGAAAGTTATAAAGCATTATATAACTGCAGGCTTTAAGAAGTGTTACCTTTGTTTTCTTATCTAAAAACTGTGAGCATTAGGTTGAGTGTGCCTGGAGTGCCCAATGGCAGGGTTTGCACTATTCCATTTATTCCAACGCGTCAGGCAATCTCAATCAAGCGCAGCAAAACCTACTTGTCCTACACTGTCATTACAATGCGAGTGTCTATATAACTACAGTACCATGTAAACACATAGGTATTTGGGACACTTACAGTATTTTAAAGTGAGACCAAATAAACATTTGATGGACGCCATGGGCTAAACACTAAACCAGACTTAACTAAACCAGGATTAACTAAACTTAATTGAGGAAGGCAGGAATACAGGTATAGTAGAAGATTTCTCTCTAAAAAATCAAATCAAATTGTATTTGTTACATGCGCCGAATACAACCGGTGTAGACCTTACAGTGAAATGCTTACTTACAAGCCCTTAACCAACAATGCAGTTTTAAGAAAAATAAGTGTTAAGTAAAAAATAGATGAGTAAAAAAAATTACAATAAATAGCAGCAGTAAAATAACAGTAGCGAGGCTATATACAGGGGGTACCGGTACAGAGTCAATGTGCGGGGGCACTGTTTAGTCTAGGTTAAAACAAGCTAAAACTCAAGATTCACAAGGTTTATAAATAATCTAGTTTGTGAGAGGTTTATATACAGTACCAGTCAAAATTTTGGACACACCTCCTCAAAAGTTCTACAGCTGCACCATAGAGAGCATCCTGACTGGTTGCATCACCGCCTGGTATGGCAACTGCTCGGCCTCCGACCGCAAGGCACTACAGAGGGTAGTGCGTACGGCCCAGTACATCACTGGGGCCAAGCTTCCTGCCATCCAGGACCTCTATACCAGGCGGTGTCAGAGGAAGGCCCTCAAAATTGTCAAAGACTCCAGCCACCCTAGTCATAGACTGTTCTCTCTGCTACCGCACAGCAAGCGGTACCGGAGCGCCAAGTCTAGGTCCAAAAGGCTTCTCAACAGCTTCTACCCCCAAGCCATAAGACTCCTGAACAGCTAATCATGGCTACCCGGACTACTTGCACTGCCCCCCCACCCCCACCCCATCTTTTTACGCTGCTGCTACTCTGTTAATTATTTATGCATAGTCACTTTAACTCTACCCACATGTACATATTACCTCAACTACCTCAACTAGCCGGTGCCCCCGCACATTGACTCTGCACCGGTATTCCCCTGTATATAGCCTCCCTACTGTTATTTTATTTTACTTCTGCTCTTTTCTTCTCAACACTTTTTTGTTGTTGTTGTTTTATTTTACTTTTTTTATAAAAAAATAAATGCATTGTTGGTTAAGGGCTGTAAGTAAGCATTTCACGGTAATGTCTACACCTGTTATATTCGGCGCATGTGGCAAATACAATTTCATTTGATTTGATTTGATTCAAGGGTTTTTCTTTATTTTATACTATTTTTTACATTGTAGAATAACAGTGAAGACATCCAAACTATGAATTAACACACATGGAATCATGTAGTAACCAAAAAAGTGTTAAACAAATCAAAATATATTTTATATTTGAGATTCTTCAAATAGCCACCCTTTGCCTTGATGACAGCTTTGCACACTCTTGGCATTCTCTCAACGAGCTTCACCTGGAATGCTTTTCCAACAGTCTTGAAGGAGTTCCCACATATGCTGAGCACTTGTTGGCTGCTTTTCCTTCACTCTGCCGTCCAACTCATCCCAAACCATCTTATTGGGTTGAGGTCGGGGGATTGTGGAGGCCAGGTCATCTGATGTAGCACTCCCTCACTCTCCTTCTTGGTAAAATAGCCCTTCCACAGCCTGGAGGTGTGTTGGGTCATTGTCCTGTTGAAAGACAAATGATAGTCCCACTAAGCCCAAACCAGATGGGATGGCGTATCGCTGCAGAATGCTGTGGTAGCCATGCTGGTTAAGTGTGCCTTGAATTCTAAATAAATCACAGACAGTGTCACCAGCAAAGCACCCCCACACCATAACACCTCCTCCTCCATGCTTCACGGTGGGAACCACACATGCAGAGATCATCCGTTCACCCACACCGCGTCTCACAAAGACACGGCGGTTGGAACCAAAAATCTCAAATTTTGGACTCCAGACCAAACAACACATTTCCACCGGTCTAACGTCCATTGCTCGTGTTTCTTGGCCCAAGCAGGTCTCTTCTTCTTATTGGTGTCCTTTAGTAGTGGTTTCTTTGCAGCAATTCGACCATGAAGGCCTGATGTACACAGTCCCCTCTGAACATTTGATGTTGAGATGTGTCTGTTCCTTGAACTCTGTGAAGCATTTATTTGGGCTGCAATTTCTAAGAATGGTAACTCTAATGAACTTATCCTCTGCAGCAGAGGTAACTCTGGGTCTTCCATTCCTGTGGCGGTCCTCATGAGAGCCAGTTTCATCATAGCGCTTGATGGTTTTCGCAACTGCACTTGAAGAAACTTTCAAAGTTCTTGAAATGTTCCGTATTGACTGACCTTCATGTCTTAAAGTAATGATGGACTGTTGTTTCTCTTTGCTTATTTGAGCTGTTCTTGCCATAATATGGACTTGGTCTTTTACCAAATAGGGCTATCTTCTGTATACCCCCCCTACCTTGTCACAACACAACTGATTGGCTCAAACGCATTAAGAAGGAAATAAATTCCACAACTTAACTTTTAAAAAGGCACACCTGTTAATTGAAATGCATTCCAGGTGACTACCTCATGAAAGCTGGTTGAGAGAATGCCAAGAGTGTGCAAAGCTGTCATCAAGGCAAAGGGTGGCTATTTGAAGAATTTCAAATATAAAATATATTTTGATTTGTTTAACACTGTTTTGGTTACTACATGATTCCATATGGGTTATTTAATCGTTTTGAAGTCTTCACTATTATTCTACAATGTAAAACATTTTTTAAATAAAGAAAAAACCTTGAATGAGTAGGTGTGTTCAAACATTTGACTGGTAGTGTATAATCGTTGGAAGGGAACTTCTGTAACGCATCACAAATACAAGTGCTAGCTAGCTTAATTCCAGCCTCCAGAGACACGAAATAGGATTCTTCAACCATCCCAAAGGAAATAAACAGTGAATATAAAGTATTATCATATGGCACACTAAGGCACAAACAATATTCCCTCACATGGCTCACTGGAAATCCTTTAAAACAGAAATCACATTCATTCCAATGCAAAAAACAACCCTTGAACACGTTTTTATCTACAGGTTGGGTTGTCCATCCATACCTTGATTGACTTGGCCAGCACAGTATTGGACAGATGCTTCTTGGGCACCTGAGTACTTCTGCCACTGGGTATGAGACTCGGCCCCTGCAATACGTAGATAAACAAACAAACAAACAAACACACAAATAATACATTTATAAATATTTTAAATCGACCAAGACATCTGGAAATGTACAGCAGGTTATAAAACCGTAAAGCACCAGTGTACAATCTGTAGGGACAGAGAAAGACGTAGCAGCCGATAAGATAAACTCTGACTGGGTACTGTTAACCTACACTCCGAATGACGTTAACCTCTTAAGGATCGGACCCTTTTTTTCAATTTTTGCCTAAAATGACATACCAAAATCTAACTGCCTGTAGCTCAGGACCTGAAGCAAGGATATGCACACTCCCAGGAATGTCATATATGATGGATCATTAGCTTATACACTAACTTTCACACATCTAGATGGCCGGGCAGGGTGGGTGTGGAGCCAGAGACAGCAGGGGTTCAAACTGTCGAACCCAGTTCCTACATTTGAATATAACAATTGATTTGATCAAACAACTATGCTACATTTTATCTCTGGGACCCTTAGGATGACAAATCAGAGCAATATTACTGCATGTAAGTACATTATTTACCATCAGAGGTGAATGTATCAAACCAGTTGCCGTGATACGTTTTTTGTTGTTGTGCACTCTCCTCAAACAATAGCATGGTATTTTTTCACTGTAATAGCTACTGTAAATTGGACAGCGCAGATAGATTAACAAGAATTTAAGCTTTCTGCCCATATAAGACATGTCTATGTCCTGGAAAGTTTGCTATTACTTACAACAGTCATGCTAATCACATTAGCACACGATAGCTCAACCGTCCAGTATACGGGACACCAATCCTGTAGAGGTTAACCCAAACATATGGCTAATATCCCAGGGCGAACTGATAAACTAGAGCCTGTGTTCTAACGTCTGGCTGTCCGGGTTGTCATGGCGACGCATTAGGTTACCTGGGGAGCCACAGAGTTGTCTGAGACGAAGGTCTGGTATTTGAGGGGGACGTGCACGCTCTCCTTGGGCCGCAGGTACACCTGGGGGGCGAGCGTGCCCTCTTTGAGGTGGAACATGTCCTCCTCCAGGGGGGTTAAGGTTTTGGTCAGTGCCTTGAAATACCTCCACTCATCACAGTCCGTTATGACACTGAACAGACAAGGGGGGGAGTGAGAGAGAGGCAGTGTTAAGAGAGAAAGGGATGGGGGGGAGGATGAGAGAAGAATATAGGGAGAGAGAAAGATGGAAAGGTAAGATAAAGGAGAGAGAGAGATGATTATTTTTAAAGAGAGAGGAGCATCCTCGCTGGTCAGCAGTCGGTCACACTTTCAAAGGCCAACCGTATATCGGTACACTGCTCTTCTTTCAATTACACACGGCCCGTCATTGTCAATGTAAATCTTCAAACCCCTTCACGAAATTGATTCCTGGGGAGAGTTCTTGAGGAACAAAAAGATAACACATACTGGCGGAATAGGGAAGTTATTTTCTTTAAGTGTCCAAATTTCATGCGCAAACACATAAAGGAAGAGGGGGCTGCTTTTAACTTCAAAGGCTCAACCGCCAGGCATGGAGAAGCGACATTTCTCAATAGACGATGAAGAATTTATGAATTTTCTCCAAAACTCCACCTTCTAAATAAAGTCTGGGGCTAGACGACCATTTCAATGAGCTCTTACTACTACAATTTCCCACTCTCCAGTCTGGTAGTAACAACTAGCTAATTAGAGAACAAAACTTGACACGCACACACACCTCTTGGAAAAGGATAAAAAAATGTATGTGTGCGTGTGTGTGCGTGCATGCTTCAGTAGGGAATGAAAGAGCGTCAGGAGTGGAGAGAGAGAGAACGAGAGAGAGAGAGAGAGAGAGAGAGAGAGAGAGAGAGAGAGAGAGAGAGAGAGAGAGAGAGAGAGAGAGAGAGAGAGAGAGAGAGAGAGAGAGATGACACAGATGCCTGATTAATAATACAGGGCCCACCCTGTGCTGGCAAATATATATTTTTTCCGTTACAACTATGGTAGATGTGTAACCAGACCAGCCCAGTACATCTCAGTTTGGCTCAGTCGTGTGAAAAGGGTAATAGTATAATAGTAAGCATCTATGATTTGATAGAAAAGACCTCAATGTCTCACTGTTTACTCTCGAATGCCTCTTCGAGAGACGGAAGCCGGTTCTGTGTTATAATAATAATAATATGCCATTTAGCAGACACTTTTATCCAAAGCGACTTACAGTCATGTGTGCATAAAATGTTTTTTTGTGTATGGTGTTAAACGTGTCGGCAGCGGCGGCGTGTCATATCTGGTGGTTAACATTGACGCGCGGCCCGGGAAAGGAAAGCTTGCAGATCCGTAGCACAGCTGTGGTGTTTCCTGATCCCCAATTAGACCCGGAGAGCCTGCTGGCCGATGCTAATGCTGTAATGATTCATTCCCCCATCACACCGCTACTCTCCTCCAGTCCTCCCTCTGTTCTGTTTATCAACATGAAGGACACTAATCCATCCAACACCATGCAGATCTGAGAGGAATCCATAATGTGAGACTATGGTGGGGGAGTGTGGGGTGTGTGTAGTGGGATGTGTGTGTGTGGTGGTTAGTGTGTCTACGTGTGTAATAATAGGTTATGGGGAGGAGGGAGAAAGAGATTGTATTTCTCCAGCAATATCTATGCATCTGGTTCAAGGGCAATTGATAGCCAGTGTAAGACCTCACCTGTTATCTCCTGGTTAAACGTGCTTGTGGAATATAAATGAGGTATGAATCAGAATCAGAGACATAGAAAGGGTGGGGAGGGGCTTAATGGTATTTTGCAGCCAGTAAAACCATTGGCCTGCTTAAATATAATTGTTTACAATATTATTTTTCTCTCTCAATCCACCCCCCCGCCCCCACAATATAACACCAGGCACATACAAACTCTAACACCCCACCCCCTCCCCCCCACACACACACCCCACTCCCTCCAGCACCCCTTTCCTCGCACACCTGAGCTCGGGGTCTTCACTATAGATGGTGACGGTCTGTGGGGTGTTGAAGGGGTTGCGAAGGACGTACTCCAGGTACTCGGCGGTACCCAGTGTGGCATAGAGGGTGTGGTGCATGGTGATGGCCTGGCTCAGTATGTGGGTAATGCCTTCTGCCTTGCTGCGTTCCCTGTAGGCCTGCATCAGGCGCAGGTCCCGCGCCAACTGGGCACGCTCCGCTCGGCGGCCCTGAAGGTAAAAGAAGTGGTGAGACCATAGAATTACAATCAGTGCTTTACAAGATCTGGCACCTGTCATATTTGACTTTGTTTATTCTGGCACATATTTGCCCAGTTCCGGTACCTCTCGCAGCATGATTTATTTATTTTCTCACTGTTTGTACTGTACACATTATAATAAAAGTGATCAGTTAAATCAAGTTGCCTACTCGTTATTTCTCCCGCCCCCCAGGAACACCATCAGGTAAAAGTGCGGTAATCCTACTGTGTTATCATCCTATCCTGCCATACTGATTTCAGACCTGATCTCTTATTTGTACATAGAGGTTATGGGGTAGGCCGGCCGGGTAAGTAACTGATCTTGAAACAGGTTTAAGTGGTGGTCGGCTAGTGAAGAGGTCCGTACGTAATCATATCGCGTAACCTAGGCTAGGCTAGCTACTTTGCTACATTGATGTCTTGAATATTATAAGAAATTCAGCCCTGTAAGCCCCACAGCTGCATCTGGGCATATGCGTATGGCGGGTGTTCTGCAGTGACGTCTAAAAGCTTTGCTGTACATTGATGTCTTAAAAATTATTTTGGGGGAAGGAGAGAAGGCCAAGTGGGCTTCTTAGCAGAGAGCCAGGAGGCCATGTTGTTGACTTTACCGTGACCTTCGTCTTGACCTCGCTGCCGGCGCCGTCTTGTCTCCCCTCGTGCTGCCGCACGGCCACCATGCGGTTGAGCTTGCGCCGGCGTACGTCGTCTGTCTCGCCCCACCAGGGGGTGTTAGTGCTGGGCGTCCCACCGCCCTCCTTCATATGACTCTGGAGCAGCGGCACCAGGTCCCCGTCCAGCTCCACCAGCCTCTGGGCCCGCGCCGCGTTACGCACTGCAACACATTCACAACAAGCAATCTTACAGCAACACACTAACAGCCTTACTGCAACGCAATCACAATATTAACAACCTTACCACAATGCATTCACAACCTTACTGCAACACATCAACAAACTCACATCAGTCGTTAGTGGAGTAATGTATGTACTAATTGTGCTCTCAATTGTTTTGATCTGCGTTGACCCATGAACTTGTTGGGAGCCTTCTTTAGTTTACTACTCCATTAGTCAGCTCCTCTACCAACATTTTTTGGTGTCCGTCAGCTCATGCTTTTTAGTGCTAGGCTGAAACATCAGTGTACACACCCTGAGGCTCTCTAGGACCAGAGTTATAGTGACCACTGTTGTAATGTAAAGTATCTTTGTAGCCATCAGGTGTAGACCGAGAAGAGATCTAGTAAGCCATATTGACGCTTGGCGAGCTGACCAGGAGATCCACGAGCCATACATACAGTATTTATTTGTTTTGTTGGATGTTGCCAAGACAGCACTTACTGTAATGATGCCGATGGGATGGAGTATATATTAAGACATCCCCCTGAACCAATTGGAAGATAAACATCTGACTGATATGAGCCCACAAATAATCTGGGAACCAAGGAAGGAAGGGAGGGAGGGGAGCAGCCCAATAATATAAAGAGATATCAAAGGAAGAGGGCCTCAAGTACTGTTTCTCATCTAAAGCCCTTCTAGAATAGTGGAAGGCTCTGCTCCCACTCACTGATAACTCACCAGGGGGATTTCTCCCCCTCTATCTCTAGCTTTGCCTCTCATCCATCTCTCACCCTCCCTCCTCACTCTCTCTTTGCCTCTCCCTCTCTTATCCATCTCTCCCTCCCTCTCAGTCTCTCTTACCCTCCATCTTTCTCTCTCCCACCCCATCTCTACTCTTCCTCTCCCCTTCTCTCTCTACCCCCTATCGCTGCCTCTCCATCGTTCTCTTTAGCTCTCCATCCCTCTCTACCATCTCTGTCTCTCTCTCTCGCAGTCTCTCTACCACTTCTCACACCATCTCCATCTCTCACGGCACTTCTTCGCATTCCTCTTTATCAGAATGGCATCAGCGATCCGCCAATCACTTTGCTGGATAGTCCCTGGGTAGTAGTATTCACTACAGGCTTGGAGAGAATGGTACAGTAATGGAACTGTAGTACTTCAGCGACTAACTGAACAGAACTACAGTGAATCTAGAAAATAAACTGTGTGAATTCCTTATCGTAAGCACACACCTCGGCCTGATTCACACTATAGGGCAAACCGAGCCAAGACAATCTGTACTATACTATCCTGGTTACACATCCACCATAGGACAATGTGAAAAGAAAATATCCGAGCCGAGACAGTAAGATTCGGGTCAGTCCTTTAGTGTGAATCAGGTACGTGTAGTGTTTGCAGACTGGATTTATTCGGTTTTGTTTGGACATTCATTGAATGGATTGAGTCCCACCTACATCAGCGACCTAATTTCTATGAATGAGCCACCTCCCTGACCATCTGAGAGCCGCTCCATAAATCGGAAATTTTTAAACAGGCCTTAAAACACATTTGTCTTTCTTATAGTCCTAATCTGGAAAGTTCTTTTAGCACCTAGCCTACTACTGCTATTTCCTATGATGTTTATTGTATTTCTTTAGGTTTTTATTATCATTGTTTGAATTTTTGCCTTTGTAGCGCTTTGAGATAACACTGTAATGAAAAGCGCTATACAATTTCAATCTATTATTATTATTATTCTTCACACCTCTGTTGTGGTGTGTGTGAGGTGCTAAACACTGTGTGTGCGACCAGCCACCAGATATGCTTGGGCAGGCTCAATTAGGCTGCAAATTGAGTGTCTCAGAGCTGCAGAGAAAGGGCAGAATGTATAATGGATCTGGATGAGACGGTCATGGACAACACCGCCAACAACCGCCCTGTAAATCAACCAACACGCACACACACACACACACACAAAAACACATACGTACACATACACAAAGGTGTGGGGGTCCTACCGTTGAGTTGTTGGATGCTCTTGGAGGACAAGCTGCCCCCGGTGAAGCCACTGGTGGCGTCCAGCGGTGAGATGATGTGGGAGCGTAACGGAGGAAGATACTGGGGCTTGTTGGGGTTGTTCTGGTCTACAGGACATCCTAGAGAAAACCAAGGAAGCCATTTTGAGAGAGTAGACACAGTTCTCTTTATCTTCTTTAGACTATTTTAACAATTTCTCAAAATGGGCATATTTTGGGGACTCATACGGGATCTGGACTTTGAAATAGCATGTGTTACTTTGTATATTTCTGTAACTCGTGTTTTTGGTGTCCGTGTTGTCGGACTGTGTAATTGGCTTTTTCTTTACACCTCAGGGTTAGCTAACATTCATTTAGAAATGTCTTATCAATCAGGAAAAATCTATTCACTAAATACAATAGCTTTATGTTATGTTGATCCAATCTGTCAACACAAGCTTCCAGGTAACCTCCAGGTTACCTCCATCCTTCTGTACGCTTTGCCTCCTCGGACACCAATTTGAGACCCTAACTAGTGGAATCCATGTTCGCTTCCCACTCATGGCGGATAAAGGGTGAGTATACACTAGAGGGTACGCTCGTGCTCAACTGTGAACGTTGATTGATTCCAGATTCTCCTCTGGCGGAGAGCACACATTCATTCATTTAGTGCCGAGCTACAGTAGTTGTGTGTGGCAGTAGACTCGTCTGGGCTGTCGAGCAAAGCTTCACACCTGGTAATGGGAGAAGAAATTGCTCTCTGTGAGTGTGCCAATGCCAAGCAGGGTTTGCCGGTCCTTCCATTCGCTGCCAATAGCAGAGAGCGCATTTCCAAAAAACAACGGCCTCAAAGAGAGATTGTTTTGTAATTTGCGGTTATGCTGTCTGGCAGATTCCAGATAGAATTACAGGAAGCAGATGATTGAGGCTCTAATTAACTACCAAAGGTTATAATTAATTAAATTGTTGCTCTCAGTCTCCTCCTCTGCTACATTTCGGAGCATTTCACTCGCATTTGGCAACATCCACTTTGGGGAAAGTTACTTTTCTAATGTCAACATTTTACAGACACTTTTTTACTGTGGAGCTCGGAAATTATGCACTGCAGAGTAGAGCGGCCGTCGCGTACTTCATAAAGCGTGAGTATTGCAATTAAGCGGCTTTATCACAGTACGACACATCTCCGTGGGCTCGTGGAGTTTTTAGTGGGAATTAAAATCACTCTCCGCCACTCTGCATCCTTCAGAGCTCCAACTCTTTCATCAACAGCTGATAATAGGCAGGCCCAGTGAGTAACGAATAGATGGGGTTGCCATGCAAACAGACACTGACAGACGCAATTGCGCAGATTAATGGCCTAGGTGTCTCTGCCTTCCCCTCCGTGATTCCTCCGCCATACATCTTGTTGTGTCGCCACCACCACAACGGAATCCCACCAAATTATAAATATAAATGTCACATTTTGTATGAGTTATAATTCCACAGATATTATATAGTGGTCCCTCACTAGGGCCTGAGACGTAGGCTAGCCTACATGATAAGGCGAGTAATGACTGTCACAACAAACGACCGGGTGGTGAACTATGACGGTAAACAGCTTAATCATACTTATTCATGTACTATAACCATGATTATCATCAAATTATGACCACTGTAATAATAATTTGGGGTGACATCGACAACAGTCCTTTTCACCCTCTTGAGTCATATTTAATTCCACAAAATGTAATCACCCTCTCAGTGCAAACAGTGTTGGGTCCTCCCTGTGGAATAGAAGCAGGGATGTATTCAGTGATGTGAAAACTAAACGTTGCAGATAGAAATAGAATGAATAGAGCGAGCATGATTCCCTATTCTACATGAGAGACAATCATATCTGTTCTACACAAAAACTTTTATTTCTGAACATTCTGTAACATTGAGCATGTGGAGCCTGGAGGAGGCCCAGGCCTGTCTTGTGTTGGGCAGGTGCTATAAGTCGTCTGTGGAGAGGAGACTAATTGTAAAGAGAGTGCCAGAGGGCTCAATTCTATTAAAATCAAATCAAATTGTATTGGTCGCGTACACATACTTTGCAGATGTTATCGCAAGTGCAGCAAATGGCTTATGTTTCGAGCTCCAACAGAGCATATATATACATATATACAGTGGGGGAAAAAAGTATTTAGTCAGCCACCAATTGTGCAAGTTCTCCCACTTAAAAAGATGAGAGAGGCCTGTAATTTTCATCATAGGTACACGTCAACTATGACAGACAAATTGAGAGAAAAAAATCCAGAAAATCACATTGTAGGATTTTTTATGAATTTATTTGCAAATTATGGTGGAAAATAAGTATTTGGTCACCTACAAACAAGCAAGATTTCTGGCTCTCACAGACCTGTAACTTCTTCTTTAAGAGGCTCCTCTGTCCTCCACTCGTTACCTGTATTAATGGCACCTGTTTGAACTTGTTATCAGTATAAAAGACACCTGTCCACAACCTTAAACAGTCACACTCCAAACTCCACTATGGCCAAGACAAAAGAGCTGTCAAAGGACACCAGAAACAAAATTGGATGATCCAGAAGAGGATTGGGAGAATGTCATATGGTCAGATGAAACCAAAATATAACTTTTTGGTAAAAACTCAACTCGTCGTGTTTGGAGGACAAAGAATGCTGAGTTGCATCCAAAGAACACCATACCTACTGTGAAGCATGGGGGTGGAAACATCATGCTTTGGGGCTGTTTTTCTGCAAAGGGACCAGGACGACTGATCCGCGTAAAGGAAAGAATGAATGGGGCCATGTATCGTGAGATTTTGAGTGAAAACCTCCTTCCATCAGGAAGGGCATTGAAGATGAAACGTGGCTGGGTCTTTCAGCATGACAATGATCCCAAACACACCGCCCGGGCAACGAAGGAGTGGCTTCGTAAGAAGCATTTCAAGGTCCTGGAGTGGCCTAGCCAGTCTCCAGATCTCAACCCCATAGAAAATCTTTGGAGGGAGTTGAAAGTCCGTGTTGCCCAGCGACAGCCCCAAAACATCACTGCTCTAGAGGAGATCTGCATGGAGGAATGGGCCAAAATACCAGCAACAGTGTGTGAAAACCTTGTGAAGACTTACAGAAAACGTTTGACCTGTGTCATTGCCAACAAAGGGTATATAACAAAGTATTGAGAAACTTTTGTTATTGACCAAATACTTATTTTCCACCATAATTTGCAAATAAATTCATAAAAAAATCCTACAATGTGATTTTCTGGAGAAAAAAATCTCATTTTGTCTGTCATAGTTGACGTGTACCTATGATGAAAATTACAGGCCTCTCTCATCTTTTTAAGTGGGAGAACTTGCACAATTGGTGGCTGACTAAATACTTATTTTCCCCACTGTGTATATATTTATATATATATATATATATATATATATATATATATATATATATATATATATACATACATACACACATATATACACACACACACACACACACACACACACACACACATACACACACACACATACATATATATATATATATATATATATATATATATATATACATACAGTCGTGGTCAAAAGTTTTGAGAATGACACAAATACTAATTTTCACAAAGTCTGCTGCCTCAGTTTTGATGATGGCAATTTGCATATACTCCAGAATGTCATGAAGAGTGATCAGATGATTTGCAAAGTCCCTCTTTGCCATGAAAATGAACTTAATCCCAAAAAAAATTTCCCACTGCATTTCAGCCCTGCCACAAAAGGACCAGCTGCCATCATGTCAGTGATTATCTCGTTAACACAGGTGAGAGTGTTGACGAGGACAAGGCTGGAGATCACTCTGTCATGCTGAATGAGTTAGAATAACAGACTGGAAGCTTTAAAAGGAGGGTGGTGCTTGAAATCATTGTTCTTCCTTTGTTAATCAAAAAGGGCTTCACAGGCAAGGACATTGCTGCTAGTAAGATTGCACCTAAATCAACCATTTATCGGATCATCAAGAACTTCAAGGAGAGAGGTTCAATTGTTGTGAAGAAGGCGTCAGGGCGCCCAAGAAAGTCCAGCAAGCGCCAGGACCGTCTCCTAAAGTTGATTCAGCTGCGGGATCGGGGCACCACCAGTGCAGAGCTTGCTCAAGAATGGCAGCAGGCAGGTGTGAGTGCATCTGCACGCACATTGAGGCGAAGACTTTTGGAGGATGGCCTGGTGTCAAGAAGGGCAGCAAAGAAGCCACTTCTCTCCAGGAAAAACATCAGGGACAGACTGATATTCTGCAAAAGGTACAGAGATTGGACTGCTGAGGACTGGGGTAAAGTCATTTTCTCTGATGAATCCCCTATCCGATTGTTTGGGGCATCCGGAAAACACCTTGTCCGGAGAAGACAAGGTGAGCGCTACCATCAGTCCTGTGTCATGCCAACAGTAAAGCATCCTGAGACCATTCATGTGTGGGGTTGCTTCTCAGCCAAGGGAGTGGGCTCACAATTTTGCCTAAGAACACAGCCATGAATAAAGAATGGTACCAACACATCCTCCGAGAGCAACTTCTCCCAACCATCCAAGAACAGTTTGGTGACGACCAACGCCTTTTCCAGCATGATGGAGCACCATGCCATAAGGCAAAAGGGATAACTAAGTGGCTTGGGGAACAAAAAATCGACATTTTGGGTCCATGGCCAGGAAACTCCCCAGACCTTAATCCCATTGAGAACTTGTGGTCGATCCTCAAGAGGCGGGTGGACAAACAAAAACACACAAATTCTGAAACAAAACCCCACAAATTCTGACAAACTCCAAGCATTGATTATGCAAGAATGGGCTGCCATCAGTCAGGATGTGGCCAATAAGTTAATTGACAGCATGCCAGGGCGGATTGCAGAGGTCTTGAAAAAGAAGGGTCAACACTGCAAATATTGACTCTTTGCATAAACCTAATGTAATTGTCAATAAAAGCCTTTGACACTTATGGAATGATTGTAATTATACTTCAGTATACCATAGTAACATCTGACAAAAATATCTCATAACACTGAAGCAGCGAACTTTGTGAAGACCAATACTTGTGTCATTCTCAAAACTTTTGACCACGACAGTTTGGGGTCACTTAGAAATGTCCTTGTTTTCGAAAGAAAAGCAATTTTTTGGCCCATTAAAATAACATCAAATTGATCAGAAATACAGCGTAGACATTGTTAATGTTGTAAATGGCTATTGTAGCTGGAAATGGCAGATTTTTTATGGAATATCTACATAGGCGTACAGAGGACCATTATCAGCAAACATCAGTCCTGTGTTCCAATGGCATGTTGTGTTTGCTAATCCAAGTGTATCATTTTAAAAGGCTAATTGATAATTAGAAAACCCTTTTGCAGTTATGTTAGCACAGCTGAAAACTGTTGTGCTGATTAAAGAAGCAATAAAACTGGCCTTCTTGAGACTAGTTGAGTATCTGGAGAATCAGCAATTGTGGGTTCGATTACAGAATCAAAATGGCCAGAAACAAATAACTTTCTTCTGAAACTCGACAGTCTATTCTTGTTCTGAGAAATGAAGGCTATTCCATGCGAGAAATTGCCAAGAAACTGAAGATCTTGTATAACGCTGTGTACTTCTCCCTTCACAGAACAGCGCTAACTGGCTCTAACCAGAATAGAAAGAGGAGTGGGAGGCCCCGGTGCACAACTGAGCAAGAGGACAAATACATTAGAGTGTCTAGTTTGAGAAACAGACGCCTCTCACAGGTCCTCAACTGGCAGCTTCATTAAATAGTACCTGCAAAACACCAGTCTCAACGTCAACAGTGAAGAGGCGACTCCGGGATGCTGACCTTCTAGGCAGAGTTGCAAAGAAAAAGCAATATCTCAGACTGGCCAATAAAAAGAAAATATTAAGATGGGCAAAAGAACACAGACACTGGACTTCTTTGCAACTCTGCCTAGAAGGTCAGCATCCCGGAGTCGCCTCTTCACTGAACAGTAGTGTGTGTGTATATATATACAGTGAGGGAGAAAAGTATTTGATTACGTTTGCCCACTGACAAAGACATGATCAGTCTATAATTTTAATGGTAGGTTTATTTGAACAGTGAGAGACAGAATAACAACCAAAAAATCCAGAAAAACGCATTTAAAAAAATGTTAGAAATTGATTTGCATTTTAATGAGGGAAATAAGTATTTGACCCCTCTGAAAAACATGACTTAGTACTTGGTGGCAAAACCCTTGTTGGCAATCACAGAGGTCAGACGTTTCTTGTAGTTGGCCACCAAGTTTGCACACATCTCAGGAGGGATTTTGTCCCACTCCTCTTTGCAGATCTTCTCCAAGTCATTAAGGTTTCGAGGCTGACGTTTGGCAACTCGAACCTTCAGCTCCCTCCACAGATGTTCTATGGGATTAAGGTCTGGAGACTGACTAGGCCACTCCAGGACCTTAATGTGCTTCTTCTTGAGCCACTCCTTTGTTGCCTTGGCCGTGTGTTTTGGGTCATTGTCATGCTGGAATACCCACCCACGACCCATTTTCAATGCCCTGGCTGATGGAAGGAGGTTCTCACCCAAGATTTGATGGTACATGGCCCCGTCCATCGTCCCTTTGATGCGGTGAAGTTGTCCTGTACCCTTAGCAGAAAAACACCCCCAAAGCATAATGTTTCCACCTCCATGTTTGATGGTGTGGATGGTGTTCTTGGGGTCATAGGCAGCATTCCTACTCCTCCAAACACGGCGAGTTGAGTTGATGCCAAAGAGCTCGATTTTGGTCTCATCTGACCACAACACTTTCACCCAGTTCTCCTCTGAATCATTCAGATGTTCATTGGCAAACTTCAGACGGGCCTGTATATGTGCTTTCTTGAGCAGGGGGACCTTGCGGGCGCTGCAGGATTTCAGTCCTTCACAGCGTAGTGTGTTACCAATTGCTTTCTTGGTGACTATGGTCCCAGCTGCCTTGAGATCATTGACAAGATTCTCTCGTGTAGTTCTGGGCTGATTCCTCACCGTTCTCATGATCATTGCAACTCCACGAGGTGAGATCTTGTATGGAGTCCCAGGCCGAGGGAGATTGACAGTTATTTTGTGTTTCTTCCATTTGCGAATAATCGCAACAACTGTTGTCACCTTCTCACCAAGCTGCTTGGCGATGGTCTTGTAGCCCATTCCAGCCTTGTGTAGGTGTACAATCTTGACCCTGACATCCTTGGAGAGCTCTTTGGTCTTGGCCATGGTGGAGAGTTTGGAATCTGATTGATTGATTGCTTCTGTGGACCCCTGTCACTTTAATACTGTTTACATACTGTTTTAGCCACTTCATATGTACACAGAGTATACAAAACATTAAGAACACCTGCTCTTTCAATGACAGACTGACCAGGTGAATCCAGGTGAAAGCTATGATCCCTTATTGATGTCACTTGTTAAATCCACTTCAATCAAGGGGAGGAGACAGGTTAAATAACAATTTTTAAGCCTTGAGATTGAGATGCAATGGAGCTAAAAACAGGCAAAATCCTAGAGGAAAACATGGCTTTCCACCAGATTAATTCACCTTTCAGCAGGACAATAACCTAAAACACATGGCTACACTGGAGTTGCTTACCAAGAAGACAGTGAATGTTCCTGAGTGGCTGAGTTACAGTTTTGACTTAAATCTACTTGAAAATCTATGGCAATACCTGAAATTGCTTGAAAAAAAAATGTAAGAGTAAAGGGCAAATGTTGCACAATCCAGGTGTGGAAAGCTCTTAGACACTTACCCAGAAAGACTCAGAGCTGTAATCACTGCCAAAGACGCATCTACAAAGTATTGACTCAGGGGTGTGAATACTTATGTAAATGAGATATTTCTGTATTTCATTTTCAATAAATATGCACACATTTTTTAAAATCAATTTCATCCATTTTTAATTCAGGCTGTAACATAACAAAATGTGGAATAAGTCAAGGGGTATGATTACTTTCTGAAGGCACTGTAACTACTGCTGTACACACCTTTTCTATTCATATACTGTCCATAATGTCTATACACACCATCATATACATATATATTTATATTCCGGACTCTGACATTGCTCGTTCTAATATTTCTATATTTCTTAATTCCTTTATTAATTTTTTTTTGATTTGAGTGTATTGTTTTGTATTTCTAGGTATTACTGCACTGTTGCAGCTAGGAACATAAGCATTTCGCTACACCCGTGATAACATCTGCTAAATATGTGTACGACCAATAACATTTGATTTTGACTTATTCAACATTTTGTTGTGTTACAGCCTGAATTCAAAATTAATTCAATAAAAAATGTTGTCACCCATCTACACATAATACCCCATAATGACAAAGTGAAAACACATTTTTGGGACATTTTTGCAAATGTATTGAAAATAAAATACAGAAATATCTCATTTACATAAGCACTCACACCCCTGAATCAATACTTTGTCGAAGCACCTTTGGCGGCGATTACAGCTTTGAGTAGTCTTGGGTATGTCTGTACATTTGGATTTGGGGATCTTCCTTGCAGATTTTCTTTAGCTCTGTTAAGTTAGATGGGGCACGGCAGTGAACAGAAATCTTCAAATCTTTTCACAGATTTTTAATGGGATTCAAGTCTGGGCCACTCAAGGAGTTTCACATTATTGTTCTTTTTTTGTTGTTTTTTTACCCCCTTTTTCGTGGTATCCAATTGGTAGTTAGTCTTGTCTCATCGCTGCAACTCCCCTACGGACTCGGGAGAGGCGAAGGTCGAGAGCCATGTGTCCTCCGAAATACGACCCTGCCAAGCCGCACTGCTTCTTAACACACTGCTCGCTTAACCTGGAAGCCAGCCACACCAATGTGTCAGAGGAAACACCGTCCAACTGACAAGTTAGCTTGCAGGCGCCCGGCCCGACACAAGGAGTCGCCAGAGCACGATGAAACAAGGACATCCCGGTTGGCCAAACCCTCCCCTAACCTGGACCACGCTGGGCCAATTGTGCGCTGTCTCATGGGTCTCCCAGTCATGGCTGGCTGTGACACAGCCTGTGCCACTCGGCAGGATCCCACATTGTTGTTCTGAAGCCATTCCAGCATTGCTTTGGCAGTATTTTTGGGTTCATTGTCCTGTTGGAACAAATATTCGCCCCAGTCTAAGGTTGTTTGCACTCTGAAGCAGGTTCTCATCAATGATTTGCCTGTATTTTGCTCCATTCATTGTTCCCTTACAAGTCTCCCAATCCCTGCCGCTGAAAAGCATCCCCATAGCATGATGCTGCCACCCCCATGCTTCATGGTAGGGATGGTGTTAAACGGGTGATGAGCTGTGCCTGGTTTTCTCCAGACATAGCCCTTTGCATTCAGGCCAAAGAGTTAAATTTCTATCTCATCAGAAGACAGAATTTTTTGCCTTATGATATCAGTCTTTCACGTGCCTTTTTGCAAACTCCAGGCGTACTGTCATGTGCCTTTTTCTCAGGAGTGGCTTCCGTCTGGCCACTCTCACATAAATCCCAGATTGGTGAAGTGCTTTAGAGACTGTTGTCCTTCTGGCAGGTAGTCCCATCTCAGCCAAGGAACTCTGTAGTTCTGTCAGAGTGGTCATTGGGTTCTTGGTCACCTCCCTTACAAGGTCCTTCTTGCCCGGTTGCTCAGTTTGGTCGGACGGCCAGCTCTAGGCAAAGTCTGGGTAGTTCCATATTTGTTCAATTTCACAATGATGGAGACCACTGTGCTCTTGGAAACTTTCAACACTCTAGAAATTGTTTTATCCCCTTCCGCAAATATACGCCTCATCACAATTCTGTCTCAGAGAGCTACGGACAGTTCCTTGGACTTCATGGTATAGTTTCTTCTGGCATGCACAGTCAACTGTGGGGCCTTACATAGATATGTTTGTTTCTTTCTAAATCATGTCCAAACAATTGAATTGGCCACAGGTGGACTCCAATCAAGTTGGAAGGATGATCAAAGGAAATTAGAAGCACCTGAGCTCATTTTGGAGTGTCATAGCAAAGGGGTGTGAATACTTATGTAAATGAGATATTTCATTTTCAATAAATGTGTAAACATTTCTAAAAACATGTTTTCACCTTGTCATTATTGGGTATTGTGTGTAGATGGGTGAGAAAAACAAACAATTGAATAAATTTTGAATTCAGGCTGTAACACAACAAAATGTGGAATAAGTTAAGGAGTATGAAAACTTTGAAGGCACTGTATGTACAGTATATAATGGTGTGTATAGACAGTATGGACAGTATATGAATAGAAAAGGTGTGTACAGCAGTAGTTATTAGGATTAGCCTTCACTAGAATACAGTATACACTGAGTATACAAAACATTAACACCTGCTCTTTCCATGAAAGGTGAATCCAGTTGAAAGCTAGGATCCATTATTGATGTCACTTGTTAAATCCACTTCAATCAGTGTAGATGAAGGGGAGGAGACAGGTTAAAGAAGGATTTTTAAGCCTTGAGACAATTGAGACATGGATTCTGTATGTATTCCATTCAGAGGGTGAATGGGACAGACAACAAATGTTAGTGCCTTTGAACGGGGTATGGTAGTAGGCACCAGGCGCACCGGTTTGTGTCAAGAACTGCACACTGCTGGGTTTTTCACGCTCAACAGTTTCCCGTGTTTATCAAGAATGGTCCACCACCCAAAGGACATCCAGCCTAGTTGACACAACCGTGGGAAGCATTGGAGTCAACGTGGGCCAGCATCCCTGTGGAACGCTTTCGACACCTTGTAGAGTCCATGCCCCGACGAATTGAGGGCAAAAGGGGGCTGGGGGGGTGTGCAACTCAATATTAGGAAGGTGTTCCTAATGTTTGGAATACTCAGTGTATACTGTACATATGAAGTGGGTAAAATAGTATGTAAACATTAGTCATTGAACACTGGTCATTTTAATATCTACATATGGCAGCAGTCTCTAAGGTGCAGGGTAGAGTACTGGGTGGTAGCTGGCTAGTAACAGTGACTAAGTTCAGGGCAGGGTACTGGGCGGAGGCCGGCTAGTGGTGACTACCGTAAAACATCAATTTAACGGCGAGTCTCAAATAGCCACCTGTCCCTTTTAATAGCCGGACAATGGCACATATTTCAGCAAATAAACTCCTGTTTCAAATAAATGGCCGGTCTAAATTAATTGTTTACGAGGTTACCATGAATTGTTTGATGTCACATAAAATAATTCAGAATCGAAAATATTATGGCAATTTGTTTTGAAAAAGACGCATACTAAGACAAAATAAACGTGACACAGTGTGTAAATTATAACACAGTGCAGGAAATTAAGAAATGGATTAAAATGCTGGAAGTGAATGCTGGAATTAAACAATTAAATATGCAAATGAGCAAAAGCTGTGTGCATTAAAAGACGCCTGGCTCAAATAGAAGCCTGTCTCTAATAAGTGCCTGTTGTGTCCAGTGATTTAAGCAAATAAACACCCAGAATATTAATTGAAGTTTTACGGTATTTAACAGTCTGATGGTCCCAGCAGCTTTGATGCACCTTTACTGTCTCCGCCTTCTAGATGGAAGTGGGGTGAACAGGCCGTGGTTCGGGTGGATGAGGTCCTTGATGATCTTCTTGGCCTTCCTGTGACACCAGGTGCTGTAGATGCCCTGGAGGGCAGGCAGCATGCCCCCGGTGATGCGTTAGGCTGATTGCACAACCCTCTGGAGAGCCCTGCGGTTGCGGACGGTGTAATCTTGGTTACCCAGAAGTAAAAGTTTACAAGTGAGATTACGGACGGTGCAATTGCCGTAGCAGGCGGTGATACAGCCCGGCAGGATGCTCTCAATGGTATATCTGTAGAAGTTTGTGAGGGTCTTCGGGACCAAGCCAAATTTCTTCAGCCTCCTAAGGTTGAAGAGGCGCTGTTGTGCCTTATTCACCACACTGTGTGGATGGATCATTTGAGGTTATCAGTGATGTGCACGCTGAGGAACTTGTAGCTTTTCACCCTCTCCGCTGGCCCTGTCGATGTGGATAGGGGCGTGCTCTCTCTGCTGTCTCCTGAAGTCCATGATCAGCTCCTTCGTTTTGTTGACGTTGAGGTTATTTTCCTGGCACCACTCCGCCAGGGCCCTCACCTCCTCTCTGTAGGCTGTCTCGTCATTGTTGGTAATAAGGTCTACCACTGTTGTGTCATCACCAAACTTGATGATTGAGTTGGAGACGTGCGTGGCCACGCAGTCATGGGTGAACAGGGCGAACAGGAGGGGGCTGAGCACGCACCATTGTGGGGCCACCGTGTTGAGGATCAGCATGGCGTAGGTGTTGTTGCCTACCTTCACCACCTGGGGTCGGCCGGTCAGGAAGTCCAAGACCAGTTGCACAGGGCGGTGTTCAGATCCATGGCCCCGAGATTAGTTTTTAGTTGTAGCCCTGGACAAACTTAGTTGACAAGTTGAATCAGGTGTACACTCAATATGGGTAGTTAGTTATATTTCTATGCAAAGGGGGGGGGGGGGGGGGGGTCTGCGTTTACTTATTCCATTTCTCACTTATTGGAAATTGTCTGCATTTACTTAATCCATTTCTCTAGATTCTGTGGTTCCAGGCAGGCAACCTTTTAAAAATAACCAAATTAATTCGCATCTGGATAAAGGGGGCATGTGAGTGGTTTTAATATGTTTAACCTTAGACAGGCGGTGGTAGCATATTACATTACTCTGAAACATTTGTATCTGTGCCCTTTAGGCAAAGCGCACAAAGCACTTAATTCACCTTACAAATATTTGGGGGAGGACAAATTTCCTCTGTGTTTGCTCCAGTGAGTTCAGGCGATTAGTTCCTCTCTCTCGCTCATGCTGCAGTCCTGCCAGGGTTTATCGGTCTGCTGCAGATGAGGAGTGTTGAAAGGCCTGGAGATGGACCTAATTGCTCTTCTTGGCCAAATACTTTTCCCCGTGTGTGAATGCCTGTGTGTGTGTGTGTGTGTGAGTGATTTCATTAATAATACACTGAACAAAAATATAAACCCAACATGTAAAGTGTTGGTCCGATGTTTCATGAGCTGAAATAAAACATCCCAGAAATTTCCCATACGCACAAAAATCTTATTTTGCTCAAATTTTGGGCACAAATATGTTTACATCCCTGGTTTTGAACATGACAGTTTACAATCCAGGGTTACTCCAAGCAGTTTAGTCACCTCAACTTGCTCAATCTCCACATTATTCACTACAAGATTTAATTGAGGTTTGGAGTTTAGTGAATGATTTGTTCCAAATACAATGCTTTTAGTTTTGAAATATTTAGGACTAACTTATTCCTTGCCACGCACTCTGAAACTAACTGCAACACTTTGTTAAGTGCTGCAGTCATTTCAGTCGCTGTAGTAGCTTACATGTATAGTGTTGAGTCATCCACATACATAGACACTCTGGCTTTACTCAAAGCCAGTGGCATGTCATTAGTAAAGATTGAAAAAAAGTTATGGGCCTAGACAGCTGCCCTGGGGAATTCCTGATGGCTACTATCTTGTGATCACTACATCCAATGGATTTGGATACTGCTTAAAGATATGATCAATACATGTTGATTATTTAATTCCTCTACTGTTTGTAACTACCCTGGTAGGTTGACTGATAATCTGATTCGAACCAGGATCTCTAGTGGCACAGCTAGCACTGCGATGCAGTGCCTTAGACCACTGCGCCACTCGGGAGACACAATTCACTGTATCACAATTCCAGTGGGTCAGAAGTTTACATACACTAAGTTGACTGTGCCTTTAAATAGCTTGGAAAATTCCAGAAAATGATGTCATGGCGTTAGAAGCTTCTGTAAGGCTAATTGACATAATTTGAGTCAATTGGAGGTGTACCTGTGGATGTATTTGAAGGCCTACCTTCAAACTCAGTGCCTGTTTACTTGAGATAATGGGAAAATCAAAAGAAATCACCCAAAACCTCAGAAAAACAATTGTAGATCTCCACAAGTCTGGTTCATCCTTGGGAGCAATTATCAAACGCCTGAAGGTACCACGTCCATCTGTACAAACAATAGTACGCAAGTATAAACACCATGGGACCACGCAGCCGTCATACCGCTCAGGAAGGAGACGCGTTCTGTCGCCTAGAGATGAACGTACTTTGGTGCGAAAAGTGCAAATCAATCCCAGAACAACAGCAAAGGACCTTGTGAAGATGCTGGAGGAAACATGTACAAAGTATCTATATCCACAGTAAAACGAGTCCTATATCAACATAACCTGAAAGGCCTCTCAGCAAGGAAGAAGCCAGTGCTCCAAAACCGCCATAAAAAAGCCAGACTACGGTTTGCAACTGCACATGGGGACAAAGATCGTACTTTTTGGAGAAATGTCCTCTGGTCTGATGAAACAAAAATAGAACTGTTTGGCCATAATGACCATCGTTATGTTTGGAGGAAAAAGGGGGTTGTTTGCAAGCCGAAGAACACCATCCCTACCGTGCAGCATGGGGGTGGCAGCATTATGCTGTGGGGGTGCTTTGCTGGAGGAGGGACTGGTGCACTTCACAAAATAGATGGCATCATGAGGAAGGAAAATTATGTGGATATATTGAAGCAACATCTCAAGACATCAGTCAGGAAGTTAAAGCTTGGTCACAAATGGGTCTTCCAAATGGACAATGACCCCAAGCTTAAGGACAACAAAGTCAAGGTATTGGAGTGGCCATCACAAAGCCCTGACCTCATTCCTATTGAAAATCTGTGGGCAGTACTGAAAAAGCATGTGCGAGCAAGGAGGCTTACTAACCTGACTCAGTTACACCAGCTCTGTCAGGAGGAATGGGCCAAAATTAACCCAACTTATTGTGGGGAGCTTGTGGAAGGCTACCCGAAACATTTGACCCAAGTTAAACAATTTAAAGGCAATGCTCCCAAATACTAATTGAGTGTATGTAAACTTCTGACCCACTGGGAATGTGATGAAAGAAATAAAAGCTGAAATAAATCACTCTCTACTATTATTCTGACATTTCACATTCTTAAAATAAAGTGGTGATCCTAACTGACCTAAGACATGGAATTTTTACTAGGATTAAATGTCAGTTATTGTGAAAAACAGAGTTTAAATGTATTTGGCTAGGGTGTACGTAATCTTCCGACTTCAACTGTACATTATGAAGCATTTCACACATGTTATCCAGATACTGACTGTTAGCACTTGGTGGTCTATAGCAGCTTCCCACCAGAATGGGATTTAGGTGAGGTAGATGAACCTGTAGCCATATTACTTCAACAGTATTTAACATGAGATCCTCTTTAATCTTCACAGGAATGTGGTTCTGAATATAAACAGCAACACCTCCACCATTGGCATTTCTATCTTTTCTGTAAATGTTATAACCTTGTATTGCTACCACTATCATCAAAGGTATTATCTAAGTGAGTTTCAGAGATAGTTAGAATATCTGTTACTAGCAAATTATTGATTTCATGAACCTTGTTTCTTAAGCTACATATGTTAACGTGGGCTATTTTGATGACTTTTCTTCTGGGATGCATACTTGTTTTATTGCTTTACTGGGAAGCTTAGCAGCAGTAGATGTGCTCATGTTCTTTAAGTTAGTGCAGAGTGAGCTGCACACAGTGGACTTCCTCCTCGGGCACACCGGCTCAGTGCTAACAGTTTAAATCAGGTTCTTAGGCACATGATTACTGCATACAATAGCTGTAGGATCAGCAGAGGCATTCAGGGCAGTTAGAGGGACATAAATTAGGTTACTTATATTGTGTCTACCGCCGCCCCTGGTGTAATGTACATTTGCTGAAGCGTTTTGACAACTCTGCGTCACAATGGTAGGATTAGCTGAGCTGGGCTTGGGTCATTGTTAAGTCATTGTCTCAACGCAGCATTATAATGCTGTGAAAGGATCCAGGAACCCAAATGATTTGGGTGGATCCCATCCTCCTTATAAAACGTGTTTTGTTTCCAAAAGGTATCGAAATTGTCAACTAAAGTTACACCCATTAATCACGTAGCCAGTTGTGAAGAGCAAGAATCCTGCTAGCGTTCAATGCCACGATGCAGAGGGCACAGGGCCAGATATGATGGGTTTTTTGTTAGTGTCTAGCAGAGAGTCAATCAGCTCTTTAAAATCCAGTTTCAACTGTTAAGAGCTGCCTTTCAAAATGTCATTAAAACCCACATGGACTATGATAGAATCGGCACTGCGGCCGCAGACACAGGCATCCCCAGCGATGAAGGTGCAGGAAGATCAGGCAGGCTCCAGGACGGCAAAACTATTCGTTGTTTGTATCCGCTCCGGGCCTCTCGTTGGGAGTGTAGACTGCTTTGCGGGAGGTCGCTGTCTTCGGCTTCCAAAAATCGTAGATTTTTTTCTTTTTTCTTTTTTAGGGGGTATATCAGCTTTAATATTGCAGATAGATTGTAACTTCCATCAATGTAATTGTCTGCATCACTTCCAATCCCCCATATGTTTTTTTTCTTTTCTCGCATATATACATATATACAGTGGGGAGAACAAGTATTTGATACACGGCCGATTTTGCAGGTTTTCCTACTTACAAAGCATGTAGAGGTCTGTAATTTTTATCATAGGTACACTTCAACTGTGAGAGACGGAATCTAAAACAGAAATCCAGAAAATCACATTGTATGATTTTTAAGTAAATAATTTGCATTTTATTGCATGACATAAGTATTTGATCACCTACCAACCAGTAAGAATTCCGGCTCTCACAGACCTGTTAGTTTTTCTTTAAGAAGCCCTCCTGTTCTCCACTCATTACCTGTATTAACTGCATCTGTTTGAACTCGTTACCTGTATAAAATACACCTGTCCACACACTCAATCAAACAGACTCTCCTCTCCACAATGGCCAAGACCAGAGAGCTGTGTAAGGACATCAGGGATAAAATTGTAGACCTGCACAAGGCTGGGATGTGCTACAGGACAATAGGCAAGCAGCTTGGTGAGAAGGCAACAACTGTTGGCGCAATTATTAGAAAATGGAAGAAGTTCAAGATGACGGTCAATCACCCTCGGTCTGGGGCTCCATGCAAGATCTCACCTCGTGGGGCATCAATGATCATGAGGAAGGTGAGGGATCAGCCCAGAACTACACGGCAGGACCTGGTCAATGACCTGAAGAGAGCTGGGACCACAGTCTCAAAGAAAACCATTAGTAACACACTACGCCGTCATGGATTAAAATCCCCCTGCTCAAGCCAGCGCATGTCCAGGCCCGTCTGAAGTTTGCCAATGACCATCTGGATGATCCAGAGGAGGAATGGGAGAAGGTCTTCCAGCATGACAACGACCTGAAACACACAGCCAGGGCAACTAAGGAGTGGCTCCGTAAGAAGCATCTCAAGGTCCTGGAGTGGCCTAGCCAAACCTGAACCCAATAGAACATCTTTGGAGGGAGCTTGCAAGATCTCACCCCGTGGGGTCAAAATGATCACAAGAACGGTGAGCAAAAATCCCAGAACCACACGGGGGACCTAGTGAATGACCTGCAGAGAGCTGGGACCAAAGTAACAAAGCCTACCATCAGTAACACACTACGCCGCCAGGGACTAAAATCCTGCAGTGCCAGACGTGTCCCCCTGCTTAAGCCAGTACATGTCCAGGCCCGTCTGAAGTTTGCTAGAGTGCATTTGGATGATCCAGAAGAGGATTGGGAGAATGTCATATGGTCAAATGAAACCAAAATATAACTTTTTGGTAAAAACTCAACTCGTCGTGTTTGGAGGACAAAGAATGCTGAGTTGCATCCAAAGAACACCATACCTACTGTGACGCATGAGGGTGGAAACATCATGCTTTGGGGCTGTTTTTCTGCAAAGGGACCAGGACGACTGATCCGTGTAAAGGAAAGAATGAATGGGGCCATGTATCGTGAGATTTTGAGTGAAAACCTCCTTCCATCAGCAAGGGCATTGAAGATGAAACGTGGCTGGGTCTTTCAGCATGACAATGATCCCAAACACACCGCCCGGGCAACGAAGGAGTGGCTTCGTAAGAAGCATTTCAAGGTCCTGGAGTGGCCTAGCCAGTCTCCAGATCTCAACCCCATAGAAAATCTTTGGAGGGAGTTGAAAGTCCGTGTTGCCCAGCGACAGCCCCAAAACATCACTGCTCTAGAGCAGATCTGCATGGAGGAATGGGCCAAAATACCAGCAACAGTGTGTGAAAACCTTGTGAAGACTTACAGAAAACGTTTGACCTGTGTCATTGCCAACAAAGGGTATATAACAAAGTATTGAGAAACTTTTGTTATTGACCAAATACTTATTTTCCACCTTAATATATATATATATATTTGCGAGAGAAAAAAACATATGGGGGATTGGAAGTGATGCAGACAATTACATTGATGGAAGTTACAATCTATCTGAAATATTAAAGCTGATCTACCCCCTAAAAAATAAAAACATTCTATGAAAGTATGAAAATGTGAAAATGACTATATGCTCGCTTGTCCCCCCCAAAAAAGGTGTCATTCTTCCTGGTGGTGTATATGAACAGAAACGCTGTCAGTTCCACTTTAAAGTCCCAAGCTACAATAAATGAGGCCTCTAGAAATGCGATTTCCAGTTTGCACATAATCCAGTGTAGTTCCTTGAGATTTGGCTTCGGGGGGAAATATACACGGTAGTGACAATGACCTAATTTCTTTATCTCTGAGGTAATACGGTCTGCATTTTATGGTGAGGTATTACAGATCGGGAGAACAAAAGGGCTTGAGTTCCTGTACGTTACCACAATCACACCAAATCAAATCAAATGTTTTGTAAACAACAGGTGTAGACTAACAGTGAAATGCTTACATACGGGCCTTTCCCAACAATGAATGTGGAAAAGATTTTTTTGGGGGGGGTTGTATCATTTGATTTACACAACATGCCTACCACTTTGAAGATGCAAAATAAACAAGAAATAAACAAGAAATAAGACAAGAAAACTGAAAACTTGAGCGTGCATAACTATTCATATGTTTGGGGCGTCTCCCACATGCCTTTTGGCGAACACCAAACGTGTTTGCTTATTAATTTCTTTAAGCAATGGCTTTTTTCTGGCCACTCTTCTGTAAAGCCCAGCTCTGTGGAGTGTACGGCTTAAAGTGGTCCTATGGACAGATACTCCAATCTCCGCTGTGGAGCTGGCTGAATGGAAGCAAGTACCCGCAGCAATGTTCCAACATCTAGTGGAAAGCCTTCCCAGAAGAGTGGAGGATGTTATAGCAGCAAAGGGCGGACCAACTCCATATTAATGCCCATGTTTTTGGAATGAGATGTTCGACGAGCAGGTGTCCACATACTTCTGATCACTTGAACCCAATCAAACATTTCTGGAGAGACCTGAAAATAGCTGTGAAGCGACGCTCCCCATCCAACCTGACAGAGCTTGAGAGGATCTGCAGAGAAGAATGGGAGAAACTCCCCAAATACAGGTGTGCCAAGCTTGTAGCATCATACCCAAGAAGACTCAAGGCTGTAATCGCTGCCAAAGGTGCGTCAACAAAGTGTCTGAATACTTATGTAAATGTTATATACATTTTCAAAAAAACAGTTTTTGCTTTGTCATTATGGGGTATTGTGTGTAGATTGATGAGGGGGTAAAAACGATTTAATCCATTTTAGAATAAGGCTGTAACATAACAAAATGTGGAAAAAGTCAAAGGGTTTAAATACTTTCTGAATGCACTGTATATATCTATCTATCACTATAACATCTGCTCAACTGTGTATGCAACAAATAAACTTTGATTTGACTTTGTTTCCAATAAAGGCTAATTCTGATTAATTCCAAGCAGGCTGTAGGAAATACATGATTAATAGCACGCATGAATGAAAGCCATAAAATTAGAACAGAGAGACGGCCGCTTAACTAACCAGTGACTTCAGGAGCATACAGGAATGTAGACATTTTCATTAACCAAAATCCAGATGACACACGCATATACCATAGTATGGGTGCCAGGCTGTTTCTGCTCTCTAGACAACTGTTTGGCTTGACAATGACAGCAATGGAGTTAACAAAAGCAAATATATCTGTGACCAGGCTACATACAACACAGGTACCACCAATCATCATATGATGTAACAATAGAGCTACCGAAAACAAATCACCAACAAAACAACCAAGACATTAAAACACCAAAGCACAGCCTCAGCCATAACTAGTTCAAACACTCCCCCCTATTCTCTCTGAACTTTTTGGTCTTCTCTCACTCCACCTCCTCGATCTCTCTCGGTCTCTCTCTTTCCTTCACTCTTCCCACCCCTGTCTCTCTCTCGTTTCCACTCTGAGAGATACCCCCCCATCGTTATTGGGGTACTGTGCTGAGAAAGAGTGAAGCTCACCAGGGCCCCTAACAGAACAGAACACTCTCTCCACCACCTCCATCTGTCTTGGCATTAGGTCAATCCAGCTCTCCCTCAAACACGCTAATGACAATCTCTCACAGAGGATCAAATAAGATGAGAGATTCATTAAGGCTTGATGAGAGCCAACAGAGGAAGGGGGGGATGGAGAGAGAATTAGAGTTAGCAAGAGAGAGAAAGAGATGGAGTGAGCTAGAGAGAGGAAGAGAGAGAGGACAAGAGAGAGTGAGTGAGGTAGGTAGGGAGTGAAACAGCTAGAGAGAGAGAGCTTCAGAGACAGGGAGAGAGGGAGAGAGGAAGAGAAAGAGAGGGCGCTAGAGAGGGAGAGATGGAGGTGCTCGGTGTGCACAGGGCTGATTCATGGGCATCCTCGTCTGTAAATTGATTCCAACTGTCGGCTGCTGGGAGACAGAGCCGGGCCTGATGGATATCTAAGTCTTGATTGGAAATTACATGCCAGACGTTTCCAATTTCTCACCGCGCTCTTACCCTGCTTTAGGAGATAAGCAGGGAGGAAGCGAGTCGTATTAGAACCACAATTTACTCTGTTGGAAAATTGGGCTTTTCGAGGCCCGACGGTGATATGTACTGTTTATGAGTGGGTATTATTTCTTACGACGATGAACAGCAAAACTATCAACAGCTGCCGTGACACTGTAGGGCTTAAACACTTCAATTGGATAACTGCTTGACACGCGGACGTTGTGTCTCAAAACTAGTGTAAGTCCAACACATAGACTACAACGCTCTCACCCAATGTCACCCAAGCATACATTGTACTGTAGCGTAAGTGAAATCCAATCAAGCCTTACTACTGTGTGCTCCCATCCAAGTCTGTAGTTAGTTACAGTACGTGTGCTCTCCAGACTCCTTATCCCTTTCCATATTGTCCTGGTAGACAGTGTGAGTGTGCTCTTCCTAAAACTCAGCCAACCATGTGTTGAAGGGAAATAGAGTCGGTGTACTTACTTCTACCTTAACTCTCTGTGGAACGCAACGCCTCACCAACCGTACCACTTCACTGTTCTAGTTTATGTTTCCTGTTATTGATACCTGGTTACAACTGTAACACAATTCATCGTAATTGATAGTAAAAAGGTGAGACAATCAAGAGTGATGGATGGATAGAAGAGTAGATGGATATACTTCAGTAATAAATGCAGTGCTCTCGCCCTTACCCACGTTGCCCAGGCGCAGATGGAGCCGACCCTTGATGGTGGTGAAGACGCTGATAGGGGTGGGGGCCCGGTGCAGGCTCACCGGCACGCCTTCGCCCATGTACTCTGTGGTGATGACCTCCAGCTCATGAGTGGCCTGTACAGCCGGACGGCCCTGCCTCAACATATGCTGAATGAAGACACAGAGATGCAGGGGCACGTTCAGAGACACAACAAGATAGGGGCGCTTAGAGACACAACACAAACAAACAAACAAGCAGGACGACCCTGACACAACATATTCTGCGCGGAGACACAGAGGAGCGTTCAGAGACACAACAATATAGGGGCGCGTTCAGAGATCGGGGGCAGAGATAGGGGCGCGTTCAGATCCAAACAATCAGGCAGAATGGCCCTGACACAACATACGCTGCACGGAGACACAACACCAGCCAAACTACTGATGCAACATATGCTGCACAGAGACAGGAGAGGCAGATCAAGATAACCAGAAGATAAAAACCTTAACCTGACCCGACCATCCGTCTTCCGCTCCTACTGGCTTTCGCAGATTCTGCCGTTACTCTCCTGAAGTTGCCGGTAATAGGCTACACGAGGAGTCAGTGGCAAAGCTAGAGCAGTGTTTGTCAGACCATGAGACATCCCGAAAACCGGTCTTCTCACGAAAATGTCAGAACGGTTTGACCTACAAACTATTATGACCACTCTATGGAAAGGCGAGACTCTCATGAACACGATGGTGTTCCCCGTGTCAGGAGACTTGTCTGAAGTCGGTACCGTCGATGTGCCAACTTCTGTTTGGTAGCTTCCGAACCGATTGGGCTACAAACTAATGGGACCCCACTGTGGTAAGGGGAGATTCTCACGGACACGATGGTGTTCTCCGTTTTGACACCCACAAGTTTCACAGGACTCGTCTGAAGGTACCGGATTTAAAAACGAACTGAAGTATGAAGGTAGTTTTGTGCCTACCCTAAAAAAGGGATAAAATGTGTAAAAAAAATCAAAATCAAATAGCTAAATGATCCATCGTATGACCATCTTAAAACAATTCCATAAGTCTGCTTAGCACTGACTGACCAAAACCAAAACTTGTTTCTCACAAGTGTAGCATAGGTTGTGCGCTCTGCAAACAACATGTCCAGTCTGACAATGAGAACGGTAAGAGACTGGAATAATAATATATTGAATGCATTAATTGAAATTACTGTAACCAAACAAACCTTGTAGATTAGAGATTATAGGAATTAACGGTAAATGTACTACTGGTGATGTAGGTAATGGGGAATTGATAGACTAACAATCAAACGCAAACAATTCACACAATTAAGTTATGAAACAGTGAATGTGCACAAATTGATGGGAGAGAGCGCATTCTGGAGAGAGACATTGTGTAATCTTAGCCACACTCCTCTTCTTCTTGGACTCTGCCATCCCCGCGGCCTCCACAATGGATTAGTCTCGGCCTCCGCAATGGATTAGTTCACTGAGATGGGAACGAATTAGACAGGTGTCTCGTGTGCCATACATTTTGTATATCTTTTCTAATGCTCGACTACATTTTTTTTTAGGGTCGACCAACAGCCTATCGACCAAAAATCCACCAGTCGACTAATTGGGGTCAGCCCTACTGGACATAAATATTCCATTCAATTAAAAATATCTCACAATGGCTCTGACCAAAAGTGTTGCATTGTATATACCACTATGGCAAATGGGATGAGTCTGGCCAAAAGTAGAGCACTTTATGGCAAATTGGGTGAGCCTGGTCAAAAGTAGTGCGATAGCCAGTGTGCCAGCACCCAGGCTAGATATAGTGAAATATAGGGTGTCATGTGTGGTAGAAACAAACAAGGACAACTGCCAGTCAGAGTGTGCCATCTGACCATGTGAGGTGAGGCTAATAGGCATTGACCTTCAACCTCTGTCTTACTGTACCTTGAGCCCCAGGGCTGTGGAGCCGATAAGCAGGAGGGATTGGCTGTCCCACACGTCCACCTGCAGAGTGTGCAGGGCCAGGTAGCGCAGGAACCAGCGTCTCTCGCCCGGCTGCAAGAACGCCCCGTCCACACGGAACTGCAGCTGGAGCCCCGGGGAGCCTGGGAAGAGGGAAATGATACCATGAAGATAGAATTACTAGAACCGCATCCCCATTCAAGTCAATGGCTCTGTAATGGGTGGTCCGGCGGCCATATTTAGTGTACCCATAGTAGTAATTCTATTTCTATGAATGATACACCACAATGAGGAGGGGGGAGGGACACACGAATACGTACACATTTACACATTTAAACACAGAGAAAGCATACACACTCATATGGACTCATACTAACTCACATGTGCATACTAGTGATGGGGGAAAAATCTATAGTTACATATCGGGATATTGTTTTTGACGATATATCATATCGTTTTGACAATATCGCAATATTATTTTTGCGCTAGTTGGCTGTACCTGGGCGGCAGGTAGCTTAGTGGTTAAGAGCGTTGTGCCAGTAACCGAAAGGTCGCTGGTTCTAATCCCCGAGCCGACTAGGTGAAACTCTGTCGATGTGCCCTTGAGCAAGGCACTTAACCCTAATTGCTCATGTAAGTCGCTCTGGATAAGAGCGTCTGCTAAATGACTAAAATGTAAATGTAAAATGTTCTCCAGCTTCTTTTTAAATAGGGAGCCAATTTGTTTTCAGCACTTTTATTTCCATGACTGATCAAAACTTGTTCTCATGGCGCTCTCTTGTCCCTCTGCAGAAGACATATGGTGAGTAATATGTTTGAAACATCAAATCGCAATAAAATCACAGTATTGAATCGCAATATATATATAGAATCGTGAGAATTGCAATACATATCGTATCGGCACCTAAGTATCGTGATAATATCGCATTGTGAGCTCCCTGGTAATTCCCAGCCCTAGTGCACACACACATACGGTCCTATAAGGTCAATTCAGGATAAGAGCTCACATTAAATTAGGCTAATGATTTGAAAATGGCCTATTTAAGGCATCGAATTCCGATTAATCTAATGAATTTGTGTGTGTGTGTGCTCGTGTTTGCCTGTGTGTATTGAAGCAAGGTGCGAACGTCTCGTACACAGTGCCTCGTTAGTACATAACACATCAAACACCAAAGCAACCCTTCAAACCCCCCATCAACAATCAATGTTATACCAAGGTTACACCAATGTTTCATTAAGGGTTAAAAAAAGTAATAATCAAAAGACCAGACGCAGGGGCCTCCCGAGTGGCGCAGCGGTCTAAGGCACTGCATCGCAATGCTAGAGGCGTCACTACAGACCTGGGAATGATCCCAGGCTGTATCACAACCGGCCGTGATCGGGAGTCCCATAGGGCGGCGCACAATTGGCCCAGCGTCGTTCGGGTTAGGGGAGGGTTTGGCCGGGGGGGCTTTACTTCACTCATCACGCTCTAGCGACTCCTTGCGCCTGCAGGCGGACCTCGGTCGTCAGTTGAACAGTGTTTCCTCTGACACATTGGTGCGGCTAGCTTCCGGGTTAAGCGGGCGGGTGTTAAGAAGCGCGGATTGGTGGGTCATGTTTCAGAGGACGCACGACTCGACCTTCGCCTCCTGAACCCGTTGGGGAGTTGCAGCGATGAGACAAGATTGAAATTGGGGAGGAAAAGGGGGTAAAACATTTTTATAAAATAAAAAATAACAAAATGACCAGACGCAGATGTAAGAACATGATCTTATTCCCACAATGGTGAACGGAAAAAGAAAAGCCCAACAAGCCCTGGCACCCTATTCCCTATGTAGTGCATGCATTACTTTTGACCTGGGCTCTATAGGGAATAGGGTGCTATTTGGGATGTATCCCCTGTCATCAATTTGTAAGTCGCTCTGGATAAGAGCGTCTGCTAAATGACGTAAATGTAAATGTAATCCCTATGACTCATGTTCTCAGCCCCTGTGGCCTGCTGGGTACCTAGGTAGTGCGAGGCCACCTCGGTGCAGCCATGTCACCCTCGACGTCACTAGCAGCTGTACTACCTTGCTGTATATCTTTCATGCTGCCATGGTACAGTACATCATGTCTGGTCTAAGAGCTTCCGAGAAAAGCAGCTTTTATGATATCTTAGGCTTGAAGACACATCTTGCATGCTAAAGAGAATTCGATCCTGCTCAGGTTGCTACAGATGTAGGATCTTAATTTGAGCCAGTTTGCTACAGCAGGAAAAAAATCCTGCAACAACAGGAAATGTGAATTAAAATTAATGGCAATTTTTGTAGGGGTTGATACATTTTTTGTTAGGGCAAATCAAGTCAAAATTTTAAGTGGAAATTACAAAATTTAGAAGCCTTTTTAAAACTCAAATACACTACAAGTTTGGATTTCCTGATGTGCAGGAAAATTCTCAGCAACAAAAGAGTGGTCAAATTAAGATCCTAAATCTGTAATACAGTTATACAGAGAGAGAGAGAGAAAGAGGGAAACTTGCAGCTTGCATACATATGTAAATGTGTTCATGATCATGTACAATATGTTCTGGGCACACATCATGGGTGGGTGCAGAGAAGGAGGTGGGCGTGGGATAGGAGCAGGGGTGTCATTCAATATCACTCAGGGACTGCATTCCAAATGGCACCCTATTCCCTATATAGTGCACTACCTTTGATCAGAGCCCTATAGGGCCTGATCAGAAATGGTGCACTATATAGGGAAAGGGTGCTATTTGGGATGAACCCACTCAGTACCGGTAATAATATCTAGGCCGTTTCGTTAGGCCCTATGCATGAATAAAGGAATGATTCAATCAAAATGAGCTCTGTGATTGAATAAGAGTGTTTGCAAATCATCACATGAAAATGATGTTGTATTCTAGTATATTCAACAGACATGGGTTCAAATACTATTTGAAATACTTTTCGTTTTTTCTTTAGCCTGCTTGGAGTGCCAGATCGGTGGGGTTTGCAGGTTAGCACAACTATTCTACTGGTTCCATTGCGCCAGGCAAGCTCAATCAAGCCCAGCTAAAGTATTTGACATTTTTTAAAATCGTTTTTGAATTCAGGTCTGGTTAGTACAGTTCAAAATGGTTCCTCTGGTCCCCCCTTACCAGAGTTGACTGTTCCATCCTTGTTAATGATGGCCAGGACACAGGGTGGCGTCTCGCTGGATTTCTTCGGCAGCTTGTCGATACCCAGTAGTTTCAGGCGCTGTGTGGTCACTGGCGGGAAGCGGTAGAGCTGGAAGGTGAAATGGACAGAGTCTGGCCAGTCGCTGCTCACCCCCTGTTGTGGTATCCTGTGGGAAAACAGGAAGAGAGGAAACAAAGGTTACAAAGTATATTTATGCTAAACCCTTTCATTACATGATGTAGACTTCATGTACTGTAGTGTACAGTATTTAGACTGACTATTACTTTAAATACTGCGACATTCTGTAGCTCCTGTGCACACTATAAACCCTTACATGACATGATGTAACTGCATGTACTGTAGTGCACACTATTCACACAACATTACTTCACACACTACAACACAGCGTCTATTCACACTAAACCCTACTGTTATATGACGTAGACTTTATGTACTCCAACATACAGTAGGTGCTATTCACAGTTTTTAACCCTGACTTAGTCTACAATGTATACCACATTCACTATTCTCAATAAACTATACTATTACTATTACGCTAAAGGCTATATCAGTTAAAGTAGGCCATCTTGATTTTTTATGAATTGTTTACATTTTTGCTTGGCTATATTTATAGTCTTTATGTTGTATATAGTGGGGAAAAAAAGTATTTAGTCAGCCACCAATTGTGCAAGTTCTCCCACTTAAAAAGATGAGAGAGGCCTGTAATTTTCATCATAGGTACACGTCAACTACGACAGACAAAATGAGAATTTTTTTCTCCAGAAAATCACATTGTAGGATTTTTTATGAATTTATTTGCAAATTATGGTGGAAAATAAGTATTTGGTCAATAACAAAAGTTTCTCAATACTTTGTTATATACCCTTTGTTGGCAATGACACAGGTCAAAAGTTTTCTGTAAGTCTTCACAAGGTTTTCACACACTGTTGCTGGTATTTTGGCCCATTCCTCCATGCAGATCTCCTCTAGAGCAGTGATGTTTTGGGGCTGTCGCTGGGCAACACAGACTTTCAACTCCCTCCAAAGATTTTCTATGGGGTTGAGATCTGGAGACTGGCTAGGCCACTCCAGGACCTTGAAATGCTTCTTACGAAGCCACTCCTTCGTTGCCCGGGCGGTGTGTTTGGGATCATTGTCATGCTGAAAGACCCAGCCACGTTTCATCTTCAATGCCCTTGCTGATGGAAGGAGGTTTTCACTCAAAATCTCACGATACATGGCCCCATTCATTCTTTCCTTTATACGGATCAGTCGTCCTGGTCCCTTTGCAGAAAAACAGCCCCAAAGCATGATGTTTCCACCCCCATGCTTCACAGTAGGTATGGTGTTCTTTGGATGCAACTCAGCATTCTTTGTCCTCCAAACACGACGAGTTGAGTTTTTACCAAAAAGTTATATTTTGGTTTCATCTGACCATATGACATTCTCCCAATCCTCTTCTGGATCATCCAAATGCACTCTAGCAAACTTCAGACGGGCCTGGACATGTACTGGCTTAAGCAGGGGGACACGTCTGGCACTGCAGGATTTGAGTCCCTGGCGGCGTAGTGTGTTACTGATGGTAGGCTTTGTTACTTTGGTCGCAGGTCATTCACTAGGTCCCCCTGTGTGGTTCTGGGATTTTTGCTCACCGTTCTTGTGATCATTTTGACCCCACAGGGTGAGATCTTGCGTGGAGCCCCAGATCGAGGGAGATTATCAGTGGTCTTGTATGTCTTCCATTTCCTAATAATTGCTCCCACAGTTGATTTCTTCAAACCAAGCTGCTAACCTATTGCAGATTCAGTCTTCCCAGCCTGGTGCAGGTCTACAATTTTGTTTCTGGTGTCCTTTGACAGCTCTTTGGTCTTGGCCATAGTGGAGTTTGGAGTGTGACTGTTTGAGGTTGTGGACAGGTGTCTTTTATACTGATAACAAGTTCAAACAGGTGCCATTAATACAGGTAACGAGTGGAGGACAGAGGAGCCTCTTAAAGAAGAAGTTACAGGTCTGTGAGAGCCAGAAATCTTGCTTGTTTGTAGGCGACCAAATACTTATTTTCCACCATAATTTGCAAATAAATTCATTAAAAATCCTACAATGTGATTTTCTGGATTTTTGAAAATGAAAATGAAAATTACAGGCCTCTCTCATCTTTTTAAGTGGGAGAACTTGCACAATTGGTGGCTGACTAAATACTTTTTTTCCCCACTGTATATTCTATATGTTGTCCGAGTACAGAATTTGTCTACTTTCTGCATAGCAAATTGCCCCTTGGGTGATAATAAAGACTGCTACTCCACACAGTACTCAGGCATATATTATATTCACTTTAATATTACGTTCTACTTGGAATGTCATCGCTGAGCTCCTGCCAAGTATGATAATTTTTTTCCCGAACCAATCCATGTGCAGTGGCAGAAGCACATTTAGGATTTAATAACACCCATTTAAACATGTAATTAAATCAAATTGAATCAGAGAGTCAGATCAGTCAATCATACAGCTTCGTTCCTGGAAACAAAAATCATTTTTTTTACCCATATCCCCGTCCTTTTTATAGTTCCTTAAAACCAAGTGTTCTGGGTTTAGGAGGGCTAAATCACTTAATAAAAAAAACATAAATCAGAGGCTGATAGAAAAGGTGCCCTCTTAGCAGCTATAGGCCTACAGCATCACACCTTTTCCAACCATGGATGGATTCATCTGGCCCTACCCTATCAAAACCTGTTGTAACCCTGTAACCGGGGGTAAAATACTATTTTAGTAACATTTTCTGTGCAATGAGAAAGCATGCTTGTTCTGATTGGCAGTGAGATTTAAAAAAAATATCGTAGCAGCGTTTTGATGATGGGACCAAATGTACTTTCTTTCAGAGCAAGAGGAATGTAGTTTTTGTCCTAGTCGAGAAATCAACTATAGGTGGTAGAGAGATTTAATCTAAATAAGTCCTCAACTTTCTTCTATTTCACACAACTTAAAATGACCACCCTCTGAGCGTATTAGCACTAAACACACACACACTCTCTACACACATACTCTCCAAACCGTGGGTGGGCCCAAACTCTCGCCCGCCGTCCCCTCAGTCTTGGTGCTAGGAATAAATTAGCTGCGAGTGAGATTAGGGACGGAAACGATTACTTCTCCATTTCCCTGCGAGAAGATTAGCAATCAATCATTGGGCATTATATAAAGGGGGGAGAAGCGTTTAGGGAGAGGCAGCCACTGTGAGGCCCACCGAGCACGAACGGTATCAAAACCACCACGTTGAAGTGGAATTTAATAAGAGCAAAGTCTGACCCCGGAGATTCACACAGGCTGAGGTTCCCGTGATAAAGGCCCCGTGTAGCTCAGTTGGTAGAGCATGGCGCTTGCAACGCCAGGGTTGTGGGTTCATTTCCCACGGGGGCCAGTATGAAAAAATGTATGCACTCACTAACTGTAAGTCGCTCTGGATAAGAGCGTCTGCTAAATGGCTAAAATGTCTGCTAAATGACTAAAATGTAAAATAAAGAGGCCGGCACAAGCTAATGTCTCTACATGGCTACAGAGATTGGCGTTGTGTCCCAAATGGCTCCCTATATAGGGCACAGTGCGCTATATAGGGAATAGGGTGCCATTTCTGACACAGCTGGACATGAATATTCTTCCAGTAAACAGACAAGATTGATAATTACAGCATCGTAGAGAGAGACGCAGTCTATCCCCCTTGCCCGCTGTACCCATTTATCAAGTTTGTTAGGGAAAGAAAGTGTGTTGTTTCGGAGCGAGCCGCGAGTACCGGGGATACTTGGAGAGCCTTCAAGTTGGCATGAAGTATGTATTTGTGAGGTGGTTGAAATTGTTTTAGTGAAAATGAGCAGCTGAGATGGCAGGAAAAAGGATAACATCGAGCTTTATTAAGTAAAATACTCTTTTTTTTATTACAAATGTCACATCCCTAATTTCTCCCCACTTATGGCAATTTTGAGCAGTATCTGTTGATTCCTTTTATGTGTGGTAGACTACTGTAAATTGGCAGCCTGCAATTCAGTCAAAGCGGTTATTGTCAAAACATAAAAGCTACCATTATGTTTCAAACTGCACTGAAGCCTCAAAGCTGCAGCCACAAAAGAAGTGGCTGTACCTTTACTCGCAGGGCCGTCGATGATGCATATGACAAATGCCTGATGCCTATATCTTGGGGATGACAGAGCTGATGACAAAATAAAAGTCAGGCTTTGGCAGAGGGGACAGCTGCAGGAACTGGGATGTCTTTGACAAGGCTTTGTGTGTGTGTTTTCGTGTGTGTGTGTATGTTTTCATGCGTGCGTGTGAGCCTTAAACCGCCAAGAGTAAGTGTGTGTAAGTGCACTGAAGTAATCTTGGCTGGACGTCAACATCACAAAGCACCGTATGTCCTTGGCTAGCGACCAAGTGCACACAGGAATGTCTCTTCTTATATTTTAATACAAATGGTGTGGAGGCTCATATAAAATATATATTTTTTCAAGCCCATTATTCTTATTTGCAGACAAAAATAGTCAATCACAAATCCTCATATGTGGTTTCGTCACTATGGGGCGAATCCTAGCGTCCACTTAAGTCAAATGTTCACTTATTCGCCCATTGAAATCAATGCATGACAAAGTAAACATTTGACTGAAGTTAGGATACACCCTTACACTTGCATTGCATTCTGGATGCACAGGGCAAATCCATCCTATATGAACGTTGGAAGACAATGTACAGTACAATAGAGTACATAACATGCTGGTTAGAATCAATTTCAGCCTACACTACGCGGGTGATGTTTATGCATGGTGCCGTAGCGCCCCAATCATGACCAGACGGCTGTGGGTTCACCTGGAAAATGCCAGAAACTGCAGCAGGAGCACATTGCCCTGCAGGGGATCCACCTCCTCTCTCTGGGGGTCAAAGTTGACTGGTTCTGTCGGGTCCAGCACTTCAGCCACCACCCCACTGGGGTCTGTGATGTGGGGGAAACCGGCTGAGTAGAGGTGGGCCAGGGAGCTCCTGGAACTCACAGAGGAAGAGCTGCAAAATAAGAGGAAACAATCATCAAACAAAAAGAACAATCTAGGCTGCGTCTGAAATGGCATCGATCCTATTCCCTATATAGTGCACTACTTTTGGCCAGAGCCCCTTAGGAAGCCCATGAGGCTCTGGCCAAAAGTAGTGCACTACATACTAGGGAAAATGGTCTCATTTCAGACACAGCCCTAGAGAGTACTTAGCAATTTGTATTAGCAACCAAACGTAATGGAAAAACACAGTGACATGGGAATTAGCCAGTACAAGGCAGGGGTTAGGGTCAATTCCAGTGAAATAGTCCTTATACTATACTCTATAGTCACTATACTATATTCAATTCACGAAGAGAGTAATTGACCCCAACCCTAGTACTCAGGTTTGCGTTCGAAACATGGAGGGAGAATGATTAAGATGGTTTGAGGATGTTGGCATCCCCATCCTGTTCAGCGATAACACACGAAGAGAGAATCCCTTCTGGGGGAGAGGAGGACCGGTGCCAAAACGCTCCCTTAGGATTTACACCATAATCTGTAGTTATCTCTAATCACAGTGGCCCACCTGTTTTTCGGAAACCATGACATCCATAACTTATATTTTTGATTTTGACATGGACTACTCCGTGCATGATAAGTAGCAGAGCAGCAGACACAGATGGTTGGTTAAAGTGCACATTCAGGGAAGGGAAAATGAACAACCTGTTGTTTACCACGAGATACTACTCAATGTCAGTAAGACAAATCTGACAAATCATATCTGTAAATAAAATTGACTTGAAAAGTAATACTAAAAAAACAGACTCTCATATAACTAATTACAGTTTGGGCTTATTCGGAGGGGAATGTCAAAGACCTCATCAAATGAGCGAGTTTACCATGACTATATCAATTTCACACTTCCGTCTCCCCCTCCAAAAGTAATATCTTAATTCACCCCCGATTGGATTAATATTCTAGCCACTGTCTTCATTTCAAAAGGAGTTCAATCTGATACACAGTTGTGATTATTGAAATTAAATTAATAAAGTTCATAGTGATCCTCCTCAAATAAGTGGGTCATTCCTTTCAGAATTTATATTTTTTAAAGACAGAGTACCATACATTTCGTCCCAGTGAACAGCACTACGTATGTCTGTGTTCCAGACACTGTGTCTATATCCTAAATTACACTCTATTACCTATACCGTATACTGCCCCCTTATGGTCCCTGGTCAAAGATAATGGGTGCCATTTGGGACACAGCCTGTAAGACTGGTTTCCATGCCAGCCAATTGTTTTCATCTCATTCTGTGCTAATGCAATCGTTTGCTCAGTAAGGTAGAGCATGGCACTTGCAACGCCAGGGTTGAGGGTTCGATTCCCACGGGGGACCAGTAAGAACAATATGAAAATGTATGCACTCACTACTCTAAGTCACTCTGGATAAGAGTGTCTGCAAAATAACTAAAATGTAAATGTAAAATGTTTGTTTGAGCGCCGTATGCCGTGTCTGTTATTTGCACGCCGTAATTTCTCATGTGGTATTCCTCTGTAACACGATGACTGTATTATATTATGACTATTATTATGATAGCCTACCGCCTACATTACATTAGCTCTATATTATCTATTTAGTAAACAGATACAGTGGCTTGCGAAAGTATTCACCCCCCTTGGCATTTTTCCTATTTTGTTGCCTTACAACCTGGAATTTAAATGGATTTTTGGGGGGGTTTGTATCATTTGATTTACACAACATGCCTACCACTTTGAAGATGCAAAATATTTGTTATTGTTATACAAACAAGAAATAAGACAAAAACACTGAAAACTTGAGCGTGCATAACTATTCACCCCCCCAAAGTCAATACTTTGTAGAGCCACCTTTTGCAGCAATTACAGCTGCAAGTCTCTAGGGGTATGTCTCTATAAGCTTGGCACATCTAGCCACTGGGATTTATGCCCATTCTTCAAGGCAAAACTGCTCCAGCTCCTTCAAGTTGGATGGGCTCCGCTGGTGTACAGCAATCTTTAAGTCATACCACAGATTTTCAATTGGATTGAGGTCTGGGTTTTGACTAGGCCATTCCAAGACATTTTAATGTTTCCCCTTAAACCACTCAAGTGTTGCTTTAGCAGTATGCTTAGGGTCATTGTCCTGCTGGAAGGTGAACCTCCGTCCCAGTCTCAAATCTCTGGAAGACTGAAACAGGTTTCCCTCAAGAATTTCCCTGTATTTAACGCCATCCATCATTCCTTCAATTCTGACCAGTTTCCCAGTCCCTGCCGATGACATCCCCACAGCATGATGTTGCCACCACCATGCTTCACTGTGGGGATGGTGTTCTCGGGTTGATGAGAGGTGTTGGGTTTGCGCCAGACATAGCGTTTTCCTTGATGGCCCAAAAGCTAAATTTGAGTCTCATCTGACCAGAGTACCTTCTTCCATATGTTTGGGGAGTCTCCCACATACCTTTTGGCGAACACCAAACGTGTTTGCTTATTTCTTTCTTTAAGCAATGGCTTTTTTCTGGCCACTCTTCCGTAAAGCCCAGCTCTGTGGAGTGTACGGCTTAAAGTGGTCCTATGGACAGATACTCCAATCTCCGCTGTGGAGCTTTGCAGCTCCTTCAGGGTTATCTTTGGTCTCTTTGTTGCCTCTCTGATTAATGCCCTCCTTGCCTGGTCCGTGAGTTTTGGTGGGCGGCCCTCTCTTGGCAGGTATGTTGTGGTGCCATATTCTTTCCATTTTTTAATAATGGATTTAATGGTGCTCCGTGGGATGTTAAAAGTTTCGGATATTTTTTTTATAACCCAACCCTGATCTGTACTTCTCCACAACTTTGTCCCTGACCTGTTTGGAGAGCTCCTTGGTCTTCATGGTGCCGCTTCCTTGGTGGTGCCCCTTGCTTATTGGTGTTGCAGACTCTGGGGCCTTTCAGAACAGGTGTATATATACTGAGATCATGTGACAGATCATGTGACACTTAGATTGCACATGGTGGACTTTATTTAACTAATTATGTGACTTCTGAAGGTAATTGGCTGAACCAGATCTTATTTAGGGGCTTCATAGCAAAGGGGGTGAATACATATGCACGCACCATTTTTCCATTATCTATTTTCTTTTTTTTTTTGAAATAAGTTATTTTTCCCATTCCACTTCACCAATTTGGACTATTTTGTGTATGTCCATTACATGAAATGCAAATAAAAATCTATTTAAATTACAGGTTGTAATGCAACAAAATAGGAAAAATGCCAAGGGGGATGAATACTTTTGCAAGGCACTGTATGCTGTTAGTACTCACAGATTATTTAAAGAATGGCCCCCCTTTATAAATGACTACTGCACACTGTCTTGTATCGTAAATAGTCACTTGAGATGCTATTTTTAGAATGGGGCAGATCCTACTCCTCTAAATTGTCTCCTAACTGAATGTTCCACCTACTGTATACTACCCACTGCACATTAGACCAATTAGCTGAACCATTGATCTCTCGGTAGATAGCAAGACAGTAGAGAATTGTGATGTAATGGACTGCTGCCCAAGCCTTTGGACGGAGATAACGCAGCAGTTAAACAAGGAGAGTGTTTGAGGCATGTTCAAAGCCACGGTGCGAGGCCGGTTAGCATTCAATAGCCTTTTATCACACGAGTAACAGCCGCAAGTGTGGATCATGAACGCTATTCAAGCCTGACCGATCAGATGTGAGTGATTTATCATGGTTGTAAAATACCAGGGTTCTAGTGTAGAACTGCATTAGCGCCGGCGATAGAGCCCTTTAAATGACACAACACCACTTGAGATACAGTACTAGTAATCCAGCTGTAGTTAGCTTTGAAGGGTCACGGTTATCTAATACATTTTGTCCCGTTGTTTATGCCATTTGTCCCAGGACACCTCCTTGTAACGTCAATATAAAGGACCTTGAGGACCCTATCCTTCCATTAACATGCAGGCGTTCTGAGAGGCACCTAAAGCAGGCGAGGGACCGATGTGTGAAACCGCTGGCTGTGACAAGGACCCTGGCCTCTGGTGCTCACCTGGGCGCGGCGTGTGTTCCCATGGTGATGATGGGGGCATGGACGGGGGTGAATGGCAGCTCTTGGAGCTCCAGGTGGCCCTCGTCGGCCAGCGCAGCAGACTGGTAGGCAGGGAGGCCGTCCCTAGGGGACACGTTGAGGTCCACCTCTAGGTGGGTGATGTTGCTGGCAGCTGGGACCTCCTGCCACAAAGAGAGAGAGAGAGAGAGAGAGAGAGAGAGAGAGAGAGAGAGAGAGAGAGAGAGAGAGAGAGAGAGAGAAGAGAGAGAGAGAGAGAGAGAAAATGAGAGAGAGAGAAAGAGAGCCTGACAAGTTGGACAAGTTCAGCTAGTCCCTCCCGTTTTTTTGTCAATTTTCTTCAGTTTGGTGGCTAATGAACGCAACCCTGCTGTTAATTAGCTGTGTTGAGGTAATGCCGCCATTTTCCAGTCCAGTCATCTCCTCACTCTCCTGTTCTATGGTATATGGCATGGTTCAGTGGGCCGAGGCCTAGTGGTGATTGGTGGAAGAAAACACCTGCCAGCGCATTACGAGACCTTCCATCACCCTCCTCCTTAATGACCTCCACCAAAGTCACATTGTGACGCCCACAACACACCACCATGATTGAAACCTATACAATGACCGACAGTAGTTAGTTAGGCCTATAGAAAAGCACTAATCACTGCAGTCGAGGGTGATTCAAGTAAATGATAATGGCTGACACTTTACTTGAATGCCTACATTGATGTCAGATTATTATGGCCTCAGTCTGTCTGATATACAGTGCATTCGGAAAGTATTCAGACCCCTTGACTTTTTCCACATTTTGTTACATTACAGCCTTATTCTAAAATGGATGAAATACAACATTTTACTCATCAATCTACACACAATACCCCATAATGACAAAGCAAAAATAGTTTTTTAATTTTTTTTGCATATGTATTAAAATAAAAAAACAGAAATACCTTATTTACATAAGTATTCAGAGCCTTTGCTATGAGACTCGATATTGAGCTCAGGTGCATCCTGTTTCCATTGATCACCCTTGATGATCATCTAAACTTGGTCCACCTGTGGTAAATTCAATTGATTGGACATGATTTGGAAAGGCACACACCTGTCTATATAAGGTCCCACAGTTGACAGTGCATGTCAGAGCAAAAAACAATCCATGAGGTTGAAGGAATTGTCAGTAGAGCTCCGAGACAGGATTGTGTCGAGGCACAGATCTGGGGAAGGGTACCAAAAAATGTCTGCAGCATTGAAGGTCCCCAAGAACACAGTGGCCTCCATCATTCTGAAATGGAAGATGTTTGGAACCACCAACACTCTTCCTAGAGCTGGCCGCCCGGCCAAACTGAGCAATCGGGGGAGAAGGGCCTTGGTCAGGGAGGTGACCAAGAACCCGATGGTCACTCTGACAGAGCTCCAGAGTTCCTCTGTGGAGATGGGAGAACCTTCCAGAAGGACAACCATCTCTGCAGCACTCCACCAATCAGGCCTTTATAGTAGAGTGGCCAGACGGAAGCCACTCCTCAGTAAAAGGCACATGACAGCCTGCTTGGAGTTTCCCAAAAGGCACTTAAAGGACTCTCTGATGAAACCAAGATTGAACTCTTTGGCCTGAATGCCAAGCATCACATCTGGAGGAAACCTGGCACCATCCCTACAGTTGAAGCATGGTGGTGGCAGAATCATGCTGTGGGGATGTTTTTCAGTGGCAGGGACTGGGAGACGCCACCATTCTCATCGACGGGGCTGTAGCGGAACAGGTTGAGAGCTTCAAGTTCCTTGGTGTCCACATCACCAACAAACTATCATGGTCCAAACACACCAAGACAGTCGTGAAGAGGGCACTTAACAGCTTTTACCCCAAAGCCATAAGACTCCTGAACAGCTAATCATGGCTACCCTGACTATTTGCATTGCCTCCCACACCCCACCCCAACCCCCTCTTTTACACTGCTGCTACTGTTTATTATTTTGCATAGTCACTTTAACTGTACCCACATGTACATATTACCTCAATTACCTCGACTAACCGGTGCCCCCGCACATTGACTCTGTACCGATATCCTCTGTATATAGCCTCCCTACTGTTATTTTAATTATGCTATTTTTTATTTCTCTATTTATTCCTCTACACATTTTTTTTCTTTTCTTAAAAACGGCATTGTTGGTTAAGGGCTTGTAAGCATTTCACTTTAAGGTCTACACCTGTTGTATTCGGCGCATGTTGCAAATACAATTTTATTTTATTTTATTTGACTAGTCAGGATCGAGGGAAAGATGAATGGAGCAAAGTAAAGAGAGATCCTTGATGAAAACCTGCTCCAGAGCGCGCAGGACCTCAGACTGGGGTAAAGGTTCACCGTCCAACAGGATAACGACCCTAAGCACACAGCCAAGACAACGCAGGAGTGGCTTCGGGCCAAGTCTCTGAATGTCCTTGAGTGGCCCAGCCAGAGCCCGGACTTGAACCCGATCGAACATCTTTGGAGACACCTGAAAATAGCTGTGCAGCGACGCTCCCCATCCAACCTGACAGAGCTTAAGAGGATCTGCAGAGAAGAATGGGACAAACTCCCCAAATACAGGTGTGCCATGCTTGTAGCGTCATACCCAAGAAGACTTGAGGCTGTAATCGCTCCCACAGGTGCTTCAACAAAGTACTGAGTAAAGGGTCTGAATACTTATGTAAATGTCATATTTCAGTTATTTTATTATTTATTTTTTTTTACAAAAAATTCTAAAAACCTGTTTTTGCTTTGACATCATGGGGTATTGTGTGTAGATTAATGAGGTAAAAAAATGATTTAATAAATTTTAGAATAAGGCTGTAAGGTAACAAAATGTCAAAAAGTCAAGGGGTCTGAATACTTTCAGAATGCACTGTACATGCAGGTTAGCGTTCTTCGTCATGAATCTTGTTCTGGAGGCAGCTCTGCAGACTGATCACTAGCTAGCAAAGCCACAAAGCCCTAAAATCTGATTCTAAACCTAAACCTAACTCTAACCTTAACCATGCTGCTGAACATAATGCCTAACCCTAACCTTAAATTAAGACCAAAAGGCTAATTTAGGTTTTCATTAATTTTTTCAATATAGCCAATTTTGACTTTGCAGCTGGCCCATCTAGGACAAGACTCATCCCAATAAACGTCAACCTGCGATCTACAGGTGGTTCTGGGTTGGTTGGAATGTTTGTCTTGAAAAAGGCCGACTACCTGAGACCTGAGGTGGGTTCAACAAGGCTTTCGTTTGCAGAGAACATGTTTCTTAGTAACAATTTCAGTTGAACGATTTGAATAGACATCCCATAATGTTACGGAGAAGCCGCAAATAGCTAATTTCTGCTGTTTTACTGTGGCTTTTTAGCAACAATATTCAAACTGCAAATAACTTTGCTATTCTTACTATATTTAATAGAAAGTCTACATGGCCACTTGTATTTGTAACAGCAGTTTAGACCCAAAACAGACACTTAGGTTCATCGCACACTACCTTCTTAGACTGTTAGCTAACGTTAGTGAATGTTCGCTGCTAACACAAAACAATTGAAATGTGTTAGCTTACATTAGCTAACATTTGTAAACTATTTCCCTAGTGGAAGCACATCTGCATACTTGTGTTAGCTCCCTGAGCAAATTCCTAAGCTTTAGCTCAGCAGGCTAACATTGTCTTGTGGTATGCAGGAGACCCAGGTTCAAACCCTGTTTGGTCACACTAGTGTGTGTTATGCAATCTATAATGTAAATATGATGTGTACTAGTTCTGTGTGCCTTTGCTGTCCTGGATACATTAATTATAATGACACTGATTTGGCGATACAAGTGGGTGTTTACGCGGTAACACTAGCAGCTATGCATATCTTTAAGTCTGTGAGAAGAAGGATGTTCTTGTTGGCACCTAAATTATAGAGACATATCGGAGCAGATTTGAGTCGGTTTAAACGGATTGTAATGAGAATGAAACATATATCTAACAGGTAAACTCAGGGACCACGAGATTAAACTCATACTATACTATTTTCACACCATTTATTTGAAGAAAAAAACACATTGGATGGATGCCAAATGTATGCATCCTTGTGAGTGTGTGTGAGGAAATCAAAAAACAACAATGTTTTCAAAGGAAAAATGATTACCGTTCCTATTTTGCGAGAAGTTACTCAACACAAAGTTACTCAACACGATTAGTACCCCAGTTCCTGCATCCTCAGCTTTACAATGATCTTCTTTAAAGTAACTGCCCAGTGTTTCCAGATTTCTATGAATATGACCTATAACATTTCATTTACATTTTAGTCATTTAGCAGACGCTCTTATCCAGAGCGACTTACAGGAGCAATTAGGGTTAAGTGCCTTGCTCAAGGGCACATCGACAGATTTTTCACCTAGTTGGCTCGGGGATTAGAACCAGCGACCTTTCGGTTACTGGCACAACGCTCTTACCCACTAAGCTACTATAATTACTGACAATATGAGTGAAATAGTTTTCCATCCAACATTTCTTATTTAAATATGTTAAAAAGCAGCTTTTCTGTGTTGGAATGGTGTGGGCGTACGCCTACAACAGAATTGTGTGGGCGTATACCAGTCATTAAACATATTTATGTAAGTAGGCCACTGATTGGCCAGCTCATCCTCCTCTAGACTGCTGATTCGCTAGCTCATCCTCCTCAAGGAGATGACATCCTGTTCTATGAGGAAATAGCAAGCATTTTTTAAACTGTTTGAGGTACAAGTTTGAGGTGGGTTTTGGCCACAATTACGAGTATAGGACTACTCAACAACATTATTTGGATATGAGTTAACAGAATATGACCTTTTAAAAGTACGATTTTGACTGGGCAGTTACTTTAAAAGTCTCAAAAACATGTTAACAAAACCAGTGAGAACTGGGTCGTATTCTATAGTCAGTATACTCAACATGAAAAGACATCAAATTATCTAGGTCATGGACTTTGCATAAAATGTTGCATTGGGTACACTGTCAAACTTGGAATGGAATGCATTTGTAGTGTGTCCAGGTACAATGGGGGAAAAAAGTATTTAGTCAGCCACCAATTGTGCAAGTTCTCCCACTTAAAAAGATGAGAGAGGCCTGTAATTTTCATCATAGGTACACATCAACTATGACAGACAAATTGAGAAGAAAAAAATCCAGAAAATCACATTGTAGGATTTTTAATGAATTTATTTGCAAATTATGGTGGAAAATAAGTATTTGGTCACCTACAAACAAGCAAGATTTCTGGCTCTCACAGACCTGTAACTTCTTCTTTAAGAGGCTCCTCTGTCCTCCACTCGTTACCTGTATTAATGGCACCTGTTTGAACTTGTTATCAGTATAAAAGACACCTGTCCACAACCTCAAACAGTCACACTCCAAACTCCACTATGGCCAAGACCAAAGAGCTGTCAAAGGACACCAGAAACAAAATTGTAGACCTGCACCAGGCTGGGAAGACTGAATCTGCAATAGGTTAGCAGCTTGGTTTGAAGAAATCAACTGTGGGAGCAATTATTAGGAAATGGAAGACATACAAGACCACTGATAATCTCCCTCGATCTGGAGCTCCACGCAAGATCTCACCCCGTGGGGTCAAAATGATCACAAGAACGGTGAGCAAAAATCCCAGAACCACACGGGGGGACCTAGTGAATGACCTGCAGAGAGCTGGGACCAAAGTAACAAAGCCTACCATCAGTAACACACTACGCCGCCAGGGACTCAAATCCTGCAGTGCCAGACGTGTCCCCCTGCTTAAGCCAGTACATGTCCAGGCCCGTCTGAAGTTTGCTAGAGTGCATTTGGATGATCCAGAAGAGGATTGGGAGAATGTCATATGGTCAGATGAAACCAAAATAGAACTGTTTGGTAAAAACTCAACTCGTTGTGTTTGGAGGACAAAGAATGCTGAGTTGCATCCAAAGAACACCATACCTACTGTGAAGTATGGGGGTGGAAACATCATGCTTTGGGGCTGTTTTTCTGCAAAGGGACCAGGACGACTGATCCGTGTAAAGGAAAGAATGAATGGGGCCATGTATCGTGAGATTTTGAGTGAAAACCTCCTTCCATCAGCAAGGGCATTGAAGATGAAACGTGGCTGGGTCTTTCAGCATGACAATGATCCCAAACACACCGCCCGGGCAACGAAGGAGTGGCTTCGTAAGAAGCATTTCAAGGTCCTGGAGTGGCCTAGCCAGTCTCCAGATCTCAACCCCATAGAAAATCTTTGGAGGGAGTTGAAAGTCCGTGTTGCCCAGCGACAGCCCCAAAACATCACTGCTCTAGAGGAGATCTGCATGGAGGAATGGGCCAAAATACCAGCAACAGTGTGTGAAAACCTTGTGAAGACTTACAGAAAACGTTTGACCTGTGTCATTGCCAAAAAAGGGTATACAGTAATCCCTCGTTTATCGCGGGGGTTACGTTCCGAAAATGACCCGCGATAAGTGAAATCCGCGAAATAGAAAACTTTTTTTTTTTACAATTAGCAACTATTACATGTATACAAATACAGTGACTCACGTGTAGGCCGTTTCACTGCTCTTCAGACTGGGCCGCTGCATCCTGACTGCGCTCTGCAGTGTTCTCTTCTTCTGAAGCCCGCCGTGCAGGTGTGTTTGTTCGGGAGAAGAACATAGTGATAGGCAGCTGTTGTCGCTCTTTTTTCTTCTTTGCAAAAAGATCCTTGTACACCGACATGCCACCATCGATTACGTTGGAGAACTGTAATGAACGGCTCATCAAAGGGTCCCATTCCTCAGCTACTCGCTTAAGTTCAGTGGCCATTCACACCATGGTTGCTAAGCGACCAAGCGTTAGTCCTTCCTCCTCATCTCTCGTGTCCTCTTCTCCCTCTTCTCTTTCATCGTCGCTTTGTGGCTTTGTCATTTACCTTCCCTTAGCATGTCCAGAAGTTTAACTTTATCTGAGATAGGTAGCATCTTCCGCCGTTTGGGCCCATCCGCAGGTGCTTTTGTCGGTCCAGGCCGTTTCGTCGACATTATGGGTTTAGGAGATGTTCGAAATTACAAGATAATTTGGCCAACTTAATGTAAATTTGCCAAGCTGTTTTATGTACGTACACATAACTGCACGAGACGACAAAATGATAGCACAATTCGTAGCATGTTTTGATACAAGAAGCGGGAGTGAGTTTTTAGCGAATCAGAATGCAGAGCACAATGCACCAAAAAAAAAAAAATGCATTATGAAAATCCGCGAAATAGCGAATCCGCGATAAGTGAACCGCGAAGTGGCGAGGGATCACTGTATAACAAAGTATTGAGAAACTTTTGTTATTGACCAAATACTTATTTTCCACCATAATTTGCAAATAAATTCATTAAAAATCCTACAATGTGATTTTCTGAAATTTTGTCTGTCATAGTTGACGTGTACCTATGATGGAAATTACAGGCCTCTCTCATCTTTTTAAGTGGGAGAACTTGCACAATTGGTGGCTGACTAAATACTTTTTCCCCCCACTGTAGTGTTAAATATAAAATCACAGCTTGTAAAGAACTGGATACCTTGAGAAAATTGGATCAGACATTGTACATTGATGTGAGTGCGGAGTCAAAGAGTGTTTCTTTTGATTTGAAAGATGAAAAACCTTGTGTAGTCCCAAAGACAAAGAGCATGCCGGAGTTCAGCAAAAAGTGTACTCTCAAGGTCGTGTGTGTGCGTGTGTGTGCGTGTGTGCCGCTGTGTCTGCAGGTATGTGTCTGTACATAGCTTTGTGTTAGAAAGGTGAGTGAGCATTCGAATTGAAATCACTGTGTCTGTCTGTGTACCCATGGAAATGATACATGAGTGTGTGTGCGCACACTTATATGTGACTGTGTCAGAGACCTATAAAGTGCCCATATTCATGTGTTTATGTATCAGTGTGTCTATGTGTGTATGTATCCGTTTGTCTTCATGTGTCTGCGTGTGAGTAGCACTGTGTGTATCCCCATGCGTGTTTGTGTCTGTGTGCGCGTGGGAGAGGGTACGGGGGTGGAATCTTACGACATGTGACAGCTGGTGGGCCGATGCCAATGGGGACGGATAGAGCTGAGAGGAAAACGGCTGTTGCCATGGTGACACGGCAGTGGAGTGGCTCATGGTCGGGTAGCGTGAAGTAGCTGCCAGCTGAGACATAGAGAGCTAGGAGAAACAACAGGAATTCACATTAACTATTTAGACTTTATTAAAACAATATGACAACACATATCACTGCTGCAAAATAAAGCAAGATTAGAGCCCTACGTCGCTTTGGTGGTCAAAAGTAGTGCACTATGTGGGGAGAATGGTGTCATTTATGAGAGGTGCTCTAATTCTCTATGGCTAGCATAACAGCATTGCCATAGATAGGCTTCTATAGCTGTAGCATATTATAACAAGATGGGTGTGATTTTCGGGAATGTGTGTGTCAAATCATATCCACCTGTCATTTCAGTTTCCAATGAGACTGAAACTTAACTTGACCAGACATCAAACAAACAAGTTCTAATAAAGGGACAATATTAAAATAACATTGATAACAAACAGGGCCAGTACAAAGACGTTCATTTCAGTAGAACAGTGACATGAGCCACAACCATCTCAGTGAGCAGCTGACTGCTCTGTTGTTGTCTTCTCTCCCATTATGTGTCAGGGCAAACAGGCTGGGTGGAGAATGTTGGCAGTACGGATCAAATTCAAGCCCAACGCCACCACTAATTGCCTTCTTCTCTGCCTGTTCCCCGGCTCCTGTGTGTGTGTGTTTTCTCACACACAGAGGCGCCTCGCTCGTGTCTGGTGTGTTTCACACCCACAGTGGCAGGCTGTGGTGACTTGCGACGTGGGATTGTGTGTGTGTGTGCGTGTGTTATATGTGTATATGAATTTGTGTGTCGCCGTTGTGGAGTCGACCTCTCAGCTGGCGGTTGTCATCATATGTCTCTTAGTAAGTGAGAAAAAGAGAGGAGGTGGGAGACCGAGGGAAACAGAGATAGAGCGGGAGAACGCATTTGAAGATTGATTGAGGGGGAGAATAAAATATAAATTTGTAACAAAGAGTGAGATGGAAATTGGAGAACAGAGTTAGGGAAAGAGAGAGGTCGAGAAATGGAGAGATACAGAAATAGAAGAAAGAGACAAAGATGGAGAGAGAGAGAGAGACAGAGACAGCGAGACAGAATAGCGAGAGAGAGAAAGAAGAGAGAAAGAGCATCACCCCGGCAACACCGTTGACTGCCAACACAGGTAACAACAATAACATAACCCAAGACCGGCCTAGGATGGAAGCGGGCATCCCAGGCAATACACACACGCACGCACACACAAAGTGCTCTCTGTATTAGATATAAATATAGAGTCTTAGCATTCTGCTCAAAGTGAACAAAAAGTGTCAGGGATCAATAATTTATGCAGAAAAACAAAGTTGTCAGATCCTACAATGCTTGCAGATATAGTGTTGAATACATCTTGTTTACAGTCCTATTTCTGTGCCGGGTGGCATTGATTAAATGGTGTTCGACAGTAATGCAGGGTAGGAGTCTGAGGTTGATTCCCAAATTGCACCATATTCCCTATTTAGTGCATTACTTTTGAACAGAGCCCTACCGGCCCTATTCAAAAGTAGTGCACTGAATAGGAAATAGGGTGCCATTTGAGACGCAGACAGAGAGATCTGCTGATGAAGAGGATTATTTCTATAGACATAAATTGGAACTGTGGATTAGGGAGAGTTCTACCAAAATCAAGAGTTATACTGTAGTTTTTGTTTATTTATTCCCCGCTTTGTTGAATACTCGACTTTGATCTGACATGTATACATGTAGCCTCGCTTCTGTTGTTCTGATGGCTCAGTTGGTTGATGCCTGGTGCTTGTGGGGGCTGCAGTTAGCCTAAGGTTAGAGAAATGGGCCAGCAATCAGAGGCTCACCAGTCCAAATACCAGCTACGGGTTGTAAGCAAATACAAACATTTCTGTTCTTTCCTGCAAGATAATAGGCTATTTTATTTGTTCTTTAAAAAGCTATGTATTGCATTTCTGTATGTCCGTGTGTACTTTTGACAATAAGAACTTGGGAGCTGCAGGTACAAGGCTACTAGTATATGTTTCAGGGGTTGGAACCAAAATTATTTTCCAATCGTTTCGTTCTGTTCCACTGTTCCGACCAGCAAAATAAAGTTCTGAACCGGTTCGAACCAAAACAAAGTACAAGTTTATATCGTTCATTTCTGGTCCTTTTTAAACCGCTGAAATCATTCATTTAACACAACATTAAATTACTTCACCATTCATGCTGTGCAGATAGAGCAGCTTTCTATGGAGCGGGGAAGCTATAGCTCAGTGAGTTGTTTACATGCGTGATGGAAAGACAAGTATAGTGCGCGAGATGCGACTGAAATTTTGTGGGTAGGGAGAGAGCGAGAGACGCTTGAAGCGCTGGGCATCTTTTGATGACATGCATTATCTTAATTAGGCCCACAGAATTATACTTACGGAGGAGCAGCTTCGCTACACCCGCTATAACATCTGCTAAACACGTGTATGTGACAAATAAAATTTGATTTGATTTGATTTATGGAGGAACTTTGAATGTCTTTGAACTTCAGAGTTGACTAAACGTTAGCTAGCTAACAAGCTTGTGCGTGCAGAGCAGCACCATAATTTTTGTAGTTAATAAATCCAATGTGAACTATTGTATCCCTAAATAGCATTGAAAAAGTTACAAAACTCTCTCCCCATCTTCTGAATCATGCTTGTAACATCGGTAGGCTACAGATGGGTCATTCCACCTTAAAAAGCACATAAAAAGAGGATTTCGACACCCACCATCGCAGACTGTTCTGAAATAGTAAATTTGTTATAAACAGATGACATTAGCATATTTTGTTGAACTATAATTTGATCTCTGAGAAATTAAGCTAATTGATTGCATCCAAATTGGCCATTTTAATTTAAAAGATTAATATAATATTCAATAAATATAGTACCTAAAATCAAATTTGGACCAAATGTTTTTCAAACAATGGGTTAGATATGAGGAATCCAAAGGAATGGTCAAAAGCCACCCACGGTCCCTTCACACCCCAACAATGAGTATATAGTATCAGTTCTCTGTGTCTGACGAGTAATATGGAGCTGCGGCCGGGAGTACTGTTTTATCATCCTATTTAATGTACTCCCAGTGAATTTGGTGGGGGTTTTTCTTCCCAGTTCAGATACATTTGTCATTAAAGTTGCTAGGTATATGTTCCATCTTACATCCTGATATTACCAGGGTCTGACTACTAGATGGCGCTGTTTCTGATATTAGGTTAAAAAAAGTTACGAATCCGTCGCCCCCCAATGTTAAAGGGATAGTTCACCCAAATTACAAAATGCCATTGGTTTCCTTACCCTGTAAGCAGTCTATTGACAAGTTATGACAGCAACCCATGCTTTGGTTTTGTTGGCCAATACTTCAAATACTACCTTTTTAGCATTTGTGGCAGAAATCCAATGCAATTCAATGGTACCTACAGTGGGGAGAACAAGTATTTGATACACTGCCGATTTTGCAGCTTTTCCTACTTACAAAGCATGTAGAGGTCTGTAATTTTTATCATAGGTACACTTCAACTGTGAGAGACGGAATCTAAAACAAAAATCCAGAAAATCACATTGTATGATTTTTAAGTAATTAATTTGCATTTTATTGCATGACATAAGTATTTGATCACCTACCAACCAGTAAGAATTCCGACTCTCAGAGACCTGTTAGTTTTTCTTTAAGAAGCCCTCCTGTTCTCCACTCATTACCTGTATTAACTGCACCTGTTTGAACTCGTTACCTGTATAAAAGACACCTGTCCACACACTCAATCAAACAGACTCCAACCTCTCCACAATGGTCAAGACCAGAGAGCTGTGTAAGGACATCAGGGATAAAATTGTAGACCTGCACAAGGCTGGGATGGGCTACAGGACAATAGGCAAGCAGCTTGGTGAGAAGGCAACAACTGTTGGCACAATTATTAGAAAATGGAAGAAGTTCAAGATGACGGTCAATCACCCTCGGTCTGGGGCTCCATGGGGCATCAATGATCATGAGGAAGGTGAGGGATCAGCCCAGAACTACACGGCAGGACCTGGTCAATGACCTGAAGAGAGCTGGGACCACAGTCTCAAAGAAAACCATTAGTAACACACTACGCCGTCATGGATTAAAATCCTGCAGTGCACGCAAGGTCCCCCTGCTCAAGCCAGCGCATGTCCAGGCCTGTCTGAAGTTTGCCAATGACCATCTGGATGATCCAGAGGAGGAATGGGAGAAAGTCATGTGGTCTGATGAGACAAAAATAGAGCTTTTTGGTATAAACTCCACTCGCCGTGTTTGGGGGAAGAAGAAGGATGAGTACAACCCCAAGAACACCATCCCAACCGTGAAGCATGGAGGTGGAAACATAATTCTTTGGGGATGCTTTTCTGCAAAGGGGACAGGACGACTGCACCGTTTTGAGGGGAGGATGGATGGGGCCATGTATCGCGAGATCTTGGCCAACAACCTCCTTCCCTCAGTAAGAGCATTGAAGATGGGTCGTGGCTGGGTCTTCCAGCATGACAACGACCCGAAACACACAGCCAGGGCAACTAAGGAGTGGCTCCGTAAGAAGCATCTCAAGGTCCTGGAGTGGCCTAGCCAGTCTCCAGACCTGAACCCAATAGAACATATTTGGAGGGAGCTGAAAGTCCATATTGCCCAGCGACAGCCCCGAAACCTGAAGGATCTGGAGAAGGTCTGTATGGAGAAGTGGGCCAAAATCCCTGCTGCAGTGTGTGCAAACCTGGTCAAGACCTACAGGAAACGTATGATCTCTGTAATTGCAAACAAAGGTTTCTGTACCAAATATTAAGTTCTGCTTTTCTGATGTATCAAATAATTATGTCATGCAATAAAATGCAAATTAATTACTTAAAAATCATAAAATGTGATTTTAGATTCTGTATCTCACAGTTGAAGTGTACCTATGATAAAAATTACAGACCTCTACATGCTTTGTAAGTAGGAAAACCTGCAAAATCGGCAGTGTATCAAATACTTGTTCTCCCACTGTATATCATTTTCACGCTTCATGTTCAAATCATCCTAAAGTATCCGAAAATTGATTGTGTAACTCAATGATGTTACTTATAGATGTTTTGGATATGAAGCATGGAAATGATAATATAGGTACCATTGGCTTGTATTGGATTTGTGCCACAAATGCAAAATATTTAGTATTTGAAACATTGGCCAGGTAAACAAAACCAAAGCATGGGTTGATGTCATAAATTGTCAATAGACTGCTTAAACCAATATGTACTTTTGTAATTTGGGTGAACTATTGGGTGAAATATCAGGAAACCACCATCTAGTGGTCGGAACCTGGTAATATCAGGATGTAGGATGGGACATAAGCGTAACAGCTTCAATGACAAATTTATATGAACAGGGGGGAAAAAACATCATCAAGATCACTGGGAATACATTACATAGGATGAAGAAACAATACTCAGAGCCGCAGCTCCATACTACTTGTCAGACAGAGAACTGATACTATACACTCGTTGTTGGGTTGGGATTGCCGTGGGGTGTGGGGGGTCCGTTTCTAACTACAGAAAATAACGCTATTAAGTGGTTCCCATGCTTTTAAAAGAATATTCCTTGAAACATTCAGTTATTTTCCGGTTTTTGGTTCTGTTCCCTTACCGGTTCCAACCCCTGATATGTTTAGCTTCAAACTTTATCACATGAGGCAGGAGAGCAGACCCAGGCCCTCATTATTGCCCATAGATCCAGCACTGAGACAGAGCTAATCACTCTCTTCTCCTCTACTGTGTGTGTGTGTGTGTGTGTGTGTGTGTGTGTGTGTGTGTGTGTGTATGTGTGTGTCTGGCTTTATCTCTGTGAGATAGCTGCATCCATCAGAGGGCCCATTCCCTCACTGACAGCCCCACTCAGCCTGAGACATCACTCACACCCCACAGCTCAGCCTGCCCCAGACACACATACACATGCAGTCACGCTCACACACCCGCGCAAACTCAGACACACTAATGTACATACATTTACAAACATGCAGAAACGCACACAGCAAACATGTACTCACATTCACATGTGCAGAAACGCACACACAAGCACATATGTACAAGCACACACACACACACGTTTAACTGAAAAAGATGCATCTATGCACCTAACACACACTCTCTCCATTAAAAACCCTCCCCACATGCATTAAGTGGATGAAGCTCTCTGCTCCATAGTACCACATCATATGCTTCAGGATATTTTGATAGACCTGATCCCTATCACTAATGTACCAAACAACCCTACTTAACCAGCCCGTTAGAACAGAGATGACACAATGATACCCTCTGACCAACTAAACACAAAGTCCTACAGTGAGGGAAAAAAGTATTTGATCCCCTGCTGATTTTGTACATTTGCCCACTGACAAAGAAATGATCAGTCTATAATTTTAATGGTAGGTTTATTTGAACAGTGAGAGACAGAATAACAACAAAAAAATCCAGAAAAACGCATGTCAAAAATGTTATAAATTGATTTGCATTTTAGTGAGGGAAATAAGTATTTGACCCCCTCTCAATCAGAAAGATTTCTGGCTCCCAGGTGTCTTTTATACAGGTAACGAGCTGAGATTAGGAGCACACTCTTAAAGGGAGTGCTCCTAATCTCAGCTTGTTACCTGTATAAAAGACACCTGTCCACAGAAGCAATCAATCAATCAGATTCCAAACTCTCCACCATGGCCAAGACCAAAGAGCTCTCCAAGGATGTCAGGGACAAGATTGCAGACCTACACAAGGCTGGAATGGGCTACAAGACCATCGCCAAGCAGCTTGGTGAGAAGGTGACAACAGTTGGTGCGATTATTTGCAAATGGAAGAAACACAAAATAACTGTCAATCTCCCTCGGCCTAGGGCTCCATGCAAGATCTCACCTCGTGGAGTTGCAATGATCATGAGAACGGTGAGGAATCAGCCCAGAACTACACGGGAGGATCTTGTCAATGATCTCAAGGCAGCTGGGACCATAGTCACCAAGAAAACAATTGGTAACACACTACGCCGTGAAGGACTGAAATCCTGCAGCGCCCGCAAGGTCCCCCTGCTCAAGAAAGCACATATACAGGGCCGTCTGAAGTTTGCCAATGAACACCTGAATGATTCAGAGGAGAACTGGGTGAAAGTGTTGTGGTCAAATGAGACCAAAATGGAGCTCTTTGGCATCAACTCAACTCGCCGTGTTTGGAGGAGGAGGAATGCTGCCTATGACCCCAAGAACACCATCCCCACCGTCAAACATGGAGGTGGAAACATTATGCTTTGGGAGTGTTTTTCTGCTAAGGGGACAGGACAACTTCACCGCATCAAAGGGACGATGGACGGGGCCATGTACCGTCAAATCTTGGGTGAGAACCTCCTTCCCTCAGCCAGGGCATTGAAAATGGGTTGTGGATGGGTATTCCAGCATGACAATGACCCAAAACACACGGCCAAGGCAACAAAGGAGTGGCTCAAGAAGAAGCACATTAAGGTCCTGGAGTGGCCTAGCCTAGCCAGTCTCCAGACCTTAATCCCATAGAAAATCTGTGGAGGGAGCTGAAGGTTCGAGTTGCCAAACTTCAGCCTCGAAACCTTAATGACTTGGAGAAGATCTGCAAAGAGGAGTGGGACAAAATCCCTCCTGAGATGTGTGCAAACCTGGTGGCCAACTACAAGAAACGTCTGACCTCTGTGATTGCCAACAAGGGTTTTGCCACCAAGTACTAAGTAATGTTTTGCAGAGGGATCAAATACTTATTTCCCTCATTAAAATGCAAATCAATTCATAACATTTTTGACATGCGTTTTTCTGGATTTTTTGTTGTTAGTCTGTCTCTCACTGTTCAAATAAACCTACCATTAAAATTATAGACTGATCATGTCTTTGTCAGTGGGCAAACGTACAAAATCAGCAGGGGATCAAATACTTTTTTCCCTCACTGTATATTAGTTTACTAGTGAAGGCTCGTATTCATGAAGAGTTTCCCTTTAAGATCACAATGAATATGATTACATGGACAGGTGGGACCTGGTCCTACATCAGCACTTAATTAATGCTCGGGGGCCATTCTGACCGTATGGAGACCTATGCTTCAAAACAGAGTGGAGCTGACCATGGCTTCAGGTAACGTTCTATCGATGACTCATCATCCATGACTGATCATGTCTGACCATGTTAGCGGTAACTGATCTGTGTGACAGTCTTACCCCTGGGCCTTGTGGTGATCCTGGAGGAGATGCTTGAGAGGCACGCCGACTTCGACCTAAAGAGAACAAGAAAAACAGTTTAAAAACAAACCTCTTATTTACTGTTACTTTCACTTCCATAGAAATGTAAATCCTAAAGTGACATAGAACATCTGACCATAGCATTTTGACTGGTAAACTTATGGGTACACTCAATATGGAATTCTAGGTCTACTTCTCACATCTCTATTCTCATTCAGCCCGCATTGCCTTCCTTCCGCCATGACTTCTGTTCACTCCGCTAAATACAAACACTTTATTATAACACATTATTCCTACGATCCAGTTAATAAAATGTAGTCATTTCCTCCCTGCGGTCCGATAATAGAACATAACCAGGGTTGCATCCCAAATGGCAATCTATTCCCTACATAATGCACTACTTTTGACCAGAGCCATGTGTGCCCTGTAGTGCACTATATATGGAATAGGGTGCCATTTGGGACATATCCCAGGTGGTGGTGGAAAAGGGATGTAGTTAGCTGTAAAATGCACCTTTTACTTGCATCGTCATCTCCTTGACTGAATTTGCCATCCAATGACATCCCTATAAGATGCACACACAGTAACGGAAAAGTGACCTATACATAGAACTACAATGATTTATCTCTACGGAGATCTACAGGTAACTGCCAAAATAAAGGAATCACTTGAGTAAATGAGGGTATATTAAAAGCAGGTGCTGCCACACAGGTGTGGTTGCTGAGATAATTAAGTAATTAACATTCCATCATGCTTAGGGTCATGTAAAGAAACAATACCAGTTGCCCATTATTTTGGCTACCATGGCTAGAAGAGGTCTCAGTGACATAGGGGGTTTAAAGGGTGTGTGTGTGTGTGTGTCTCTCAGTCACCAGATCTCATTCCAATTGACCACTTATGGGAGATTCTGGAGTGGCGCATGAGACAGCGTTTTTCCACCACCATCAACAAAACACCAAATTATGGAATTTCTCGTGGAAGAATGGTGTCTCATCCCTCCAATAGAGTTCCAGACACTTGTAGCATCTATGCCAAGGTGCATTGAAGCTGTTTTATTTTATTAAGACACTTTATGTTGGTGTTTCCTTTGTTTTGGCAGTTACCTACTATACGGTGTAAGGTGAAGTTGGCACTAGTCGCTAGTCATGGGTCAGTTTAGCATTTTCCTAACCAATGGCTGAGGTTGGAATTGGGGAAGGGGAAGCTGATCCTAGATCTGTACCTACAGTGAGGGAAAAAAGTATTTGATCCCCTGCTGATTTTGTACGTTTGCCCTCTGACAAAGACATGATCAGTCTATAATTTTAATGGTAGGTTTATTTGAACAGTGAGAGACAGAATAACAACAACAAAAAATCCAGAAAAACGCATGTCAAAAAATGTTAGAAATTGATTTGCATTTTAATGAGGGAAATAAGTATTTGACCCCTCTGCAAAACATGACTTAGTACTTGGTGGCAAAACCCTTGTTCGCAATCACAGAGGTCAGACGTTTCTTGTAGTTGGCCACCAGGTAACTGCACACATCTCAGGAGGGATTTTGTCCCACTCCTCTTTGCAGATCTTCTTCAAGTCATTAAGGTTTCGAGGCTGACGTTTGACAACTCGAACCTTCAGCTCCCTCCACAGATTTTCTATGGGATTAAGGTCTGGAGACTGGCTAGGTCACTCCAGGACCTTAATGTGCTTCTTCTTGAGCCAATCCTTTGTTGCCTTGGCCGTGTGTTTTGGGTCATTCTCATGCTGGAATACCCATCTACGACCCATTTTCAATGCCCTGGCTGAGGGAAGGAGGTTCTCACCCAAGATTTGACGGTACATGGCCTCGTCCATCATCCCTTTGATGCGGTGATGTTGTCCTGTCCCCTTAGCAGAAAAACACCCCCAAAGCATAATGTTTCCACCTCCATGTTTGACGGTGGGGATGGTGTTCTTGGGGTCATAGGCAGCATTCCTCCTCCTCCAAACACGGCGAGTTGAGTTGATGCCAAAGAGCTCCATTATGGTCTCATCTGACCACAACACTTTCATCCAGTTCTTCTCTGAATCATTCAGATGTTCATTGGCAAACTTCAGACGGCCCTGTATATGTGCTTTCTTGAGCAGGGGGACCTTGCGGGCGCTGCAGGATTTCAGTCCTTCACGGCGTAGTGTGTTACCAATTGTTTTCTTGGTGACTATGGTCCCAGCTGCCTTGAGATCATTAACAAGATCCTCCCATGTAGTTCTGGGCTGATTCCTCACTGTTCTCATGATCATTGCAACTCCACGAGGTGAGATCTTGCATGGAGCCCCAGGCTGAGGGAGATTGACAGTTATTTTGTGTTTCTTCCATTTGCAAATAATCGCACCAACTGTTGTCACCTTCTCACCAAGCTGCTTGGTGATGGTCTTGTAGCCCATTCCAGCCTTGTGTAGGTCTACAATCTTGTCCCTGACATCCTTGGAGAGCTCTTTGGTCTTGGCCGTGGTGGAGAGTTTGGAATCTGATTGATTGATTGCTTCTGTGGACAGGTGTCTTTTATACAGGTAACAAACTGAGATTAGGAGCACTCCCTTTAAGAGTGTGCTCCTAATCTCAGCTCGTTACCTGTATAAAAGACACTTGGGAGCCAGAAATCTTTCTGATTGAGAGGGGGTCAAATACTTATTTCCCTCATTAAAATGCAAATCAATTTATAACATTTTTTACATGCGTTTTTCTGGATTTTTTTGTTGTTATTCTGTCTCTCACTGTTCAAATTAACCTGCCATTAAAATTATAGACTGATCATTTCTTTGTCAGTGGGAAAACGTACAAAATCAGCAGGGGATCAAATACTTTTTTTCCCTCGCTGTATAATGTCACCCCGGAGCTACAGGTAACTGCCAAAATAATGGAAACATCAACATAAAGTGTCTTAATAGGACGTTTGGCCACCACGAGCCGCCAGAACAGCTTCAATGCTCATCAAACCATTCTATGACCACTCTTGCCCTGTGGATGGAGGCATTGTCATCCACTCCCATCAGGATAGAAATGATTCACCATAGGTTGTAGGTAATCACTCAAAATGGCTGTGTATTTATTGGCATTTACCTTGCCCTCTAAAGGGTTAAGTGGACCTAAACCATGCCTGGAAAATGCACCCCACACCATAACAGAGCCGCCAGAACCCTCATTTACTCAAGTGTTTCCATTATTTTAGCAGTTACATGTTTCTCTACATTCAACTTCTATGAACCACTAGAATTGTCCTATTGTAGACTAAAGTGTAAGCACACAGTGGAACATCACTCAGACAATCTGTGACCGTGTTGTCTTTTAGACACAGTCACAGTCTGATTCAAATGTCTGATGCAACGCTGGATGAACTGCACTGGTAGCCATAGTGATGGCAAAATGAAACGCTACCTATCTCTCGCTTTCTTTCTCTGTATCTCTCTCGTCCTACCTCTGTCCGTTTTTCTCTATCTCTTTCTATAACTCTCTCACAGCTCAGTTTTTCTCTCTCACCCACTCTCTCACTCACCCCCCCTCTCTGTGACTCTCTCTCTCATTCTTTCTCTGCTGGCTCAGACTGGCCTTTTGGAAATGGCTGCAGCAGCCTGGGGTGCAGTAGCCTTGCTGTAGCATCCATCTGCTCAGATTACAGTAAGTGAGGACAGGAGGACACAGTAGTGCTGGATGATGAACTAGTACCATGACACTACCATGGCACCAACCTGCTCTATGGCATCCATTTTGTTTGGAGTGTTTTTAAGTGGCACTACAGACTCTATTTTTCAAATCATTAAGTGGACTTATCAGTGATAAACAGAGATGTTGACAGCTGAGAAATCAGGTAATTGTGAATAATGCAAATATGGGCCATTGGAATTCATTAATAATAATCTAAGAGGACACAGCTAGATGTTTTTTCCACTTTTTTCCCGGCTTTGCTTATCATTAGCCAAGTTGTAGGCGATGGCGGTCAAGCAAACAGTGCGGGTTCTGTAGCTACATCCCTGATTAATGGGAATGCATGGACTGTGTGAGAGTGCATAAGTCATACATGCACTCTGTTTAATGCCCATCATACATTTCTCATGGATACATCTGAAACAGTATGAATCGATAAGTGTCTTACTTTCCCATTTACAAATGACTGGCTGAAGGGGTAGGAATGCAATGTGGAATGTTTGATCCTCCTTTGATCCTCCTTGCTTGTCGGATGCAGCCACGGGGCGACAAAGACATGAATTACACATCTCGGCTTGTAAATGAGCTGTTGGATTCTAGAGAAACATACACACGAAAACACATACATACAAACACACACACGGATGCACACACACACCTACACGTGGCCAAGAATGCACAAAACAAACACACATTCACACATACACACACGAGTGCACGCACACACAAACCCCTCTGTCTAATCAGAAAACAGTCAGCACTGTTCAAACCACCAAATCAAAAGAATGACAGAGATTGATGATATTGTACTTCCTTAAGAGCAGCTAACACAAAATCGTTTAGGTGACTTGTTCAGAGAAGGCTTTTCGAGGACACTTCAACCGCTGATTAAACTGTCATTAAACAGACTTTGCAAAGAAGCAGCACCCCCAACTGAACCTCAATCAACTCCATTCTCTGTGTAGGAAGATAAGCTGGCTAGCGACAACATTAGGATGGAAATCATTGGCTATGTAGAGTCCACTCAGAGTCATGATATACCCTCTGTCAACGACAATTGAGTGAGTGTCTGTGTACCAAATGTTTACCAGGCTTTTATAATCAATTCCGTGACAGACATACGACTGGAGTTCCAATAAGTGACACTTCTAAGTTATTCTTCTTTTCTTTCTTTTTATGTTCAAATAAAATGAAATGAAATAAATAAATCACTATCTTTCTGAAGCTCAGTATGGGAGATAAATAATGCAATTCATCTAACCTTTATTTTACCAGGAATTCTCTCTAGGTTTCATCCTCTTTTCTGGGAAAGACCTGAAATAATATAACTAATAGAATAAGAGATCTAATAACAGTGCCTTCAATATTAGGTTGCAACTGTATAACCTGTACCCTAATACAATAGTGTCATATCATGCGCCTATGTTTTTACGAGTGCCATACATAGACAGTAACATATCGGTACTTTCATGAATGATAGCAAAATATGTCTCTGGTTCTACTGCATACATAGCCTACCAAAAAGGCTAAAGTCTGATGAGTTTGGGTCGCAACTCAACCCTTTTCCGGAGCAGAAGCTAGCGTGAGATACCGATGTCAGGCTTGTTCAAAATCAAGGGGCCATATCGGGCCCTGGCCAAAGTCTCTTCCGGATATTCTACTTCTTTGTCGGAGCATTCTAATCCTGTAGAGAGCAGGTGGTGCCATTGAGATAACACTGCGGTGGTGGGGAGTCCCATTATGCATGTTGCTTCTGATGGATGGTAGTCAGAACTTTGAAGCCCTTCTCCAGGGGCGGCTAACTGTGTTGTGTGTGTGTGTGTGTGTGTTTGTTGTGTGTGTGTTGTGTGTGTGTGTTGTTTGTGCACCTGAAAAGTATGCAAGTTGGTCTGCGAGCAGCTTTTCTGGCATGCCATGCTTTCCCTGTTACGATAAACCGTTTTGGTGAGGAAACAAACACAGGCAGTCACATGTTTGAAGTGATTTCAAAGTCCAATTCGAACTAGAAAAAAAAACAAAAAAAACAAATGAAAGAAAACTAAAGCCATTATGAGAAATAAAAGGACATTGTTCCTGAGGCTACTGATACATGTCAGCTATGTGATTAAGACAACATAGAAAAGCAGAAAAAGCTGGATTTTGGCTAGTGGATACATCAGTTCGAATTAGAATTTTATTAAGGATAATGTCCAGAAAATCACGGAATTCCTGATTAATCAGGAAGGGTCCCATCCATGACTGATACAGATGGAGATATCCCCCCATGATGATATGTACCTGGTGAGGGTGAGGGAGGTTTCCTCTGCTGTGCTGCCATCTCCTCCTTTCCTGTCCAGCTCCTCCTCAGAGACACGGCTGGGCTAGACGAGGCCTTCTGCACTGAGCTGGAAGACAGACGGAACCTGACCATGTCCCTCTCATCGACCACCTCCGAGAGAGGACCAGAGAGACAGACAGAAAGCGAGAGAGGCAGAGCGAGACAGAAAGGGAGATAGAAAGAGGAAAAGAGAAGTCAGTGTGAGACTGTCAAATGAGCAGCTGATCCATCATCTCATCTAATGAATTGGTTAATATCACACATTATGAGAAATATGTGTTACCTGGGCAGGACTTTGGGTGTTGGAGGAAGAGGTATAAGACATGACTCCGTAGGGGTTGGGCGTAGCGCCGCCCTTCAGACTAAGCTTCACTTCTTCGGCCCTCAGGGCACCCCACTCCTGGAAGGGGCACCACACCCCCCAGCGCAGGCACTGCATGAAGGCTGTCCGGGAGATCGTGGAGGTCGAGGAGAACTGTGGAACCCAAAAACACCCAGAGTCAGTAGAACCTTTAGAGGTAAAGAAAGACTTAAAGCCTTATCTGTAGTGTGAGGCACAACATGATGCCAAACAGGAAGAAGTGGAGAGAGCTCCTTGTGGCCTTATGTTCTGAAGGAGATGAAGAGGATTCATAAAGTAAGTAAGCAAGCATTATTAGTATGTATGTTATAACTGCTTCTACACAATAATTGAAAGTAGAAAAATAACCGTTTGTGAATCCTAGCCATCTTTATTTGTGGGAGTTTATGCCACTTACAGTACAGGAGAGCAGTTACAACCATTCCTGTTAGTATTAAAAAAGAGATTACTGGTTTTAGTCGATCAGGAGCAGTGGAAATTGTTTCGATGTCTGAATACCGTCAGAGGTCCCTATTAGTAATCGGTCTTATCGACAGTCGAAAAAAGTTCAATTTGCTCCAATAGCTTTCACCCCAAACATTGTATCGCAGGTGAAAGAGACGAAAATTAAACAGCTGAGGAAAATCAATAGTGGTACAGCAATTCCAATTTGAGGGCATTGTCATTTCGCTTCGGGCAAGACTGGAGTCCAAGGTTATTATAGTTTTGTGATTTTCTATTAGTTTTTTTTTTTTCTATTAGTTTTTTATTTCTAGTTTAGTTTCAGTTAGTTCAGACTTGATTTACTAGTTTTTATTTAGTTTGAGATTTATAAATTACTATATTATTTAGTTTTAGTGTTAGGGAAAGAAAGTAGCAGGCTAGGAGCCATTAATGTGTTGTAGGCCTATAGTTTGTGTGTTTTTGGTGATGTCACTTTTTCCCACTGGGGAGCCGTAATACATAAGGTGATGGGTCAGGTCATAGGTTTGGTTATGTTTAAATTATAAATAAATCTTAATGTGACTTGGATTTAAAAAGGATAATCGTTGGTGTCCGATTCAGAATCAGACATTTCTGCCGCGCCGTTCAAAGCTATGGCCAGCTCTGGTTGTTGTTGGTCACGGGTATTCTCTTGCCTGTTCTGTAATAGCTTGATAGCCTTGACTATGTTAGCCCAGTTGTCAGTTACGACGAGTAAGATCTTCTCCTCTTGTATGTCCCATGCGTCCAATGTGCAGTTAATTACCTCTCCAGTGTGGATGCTAAATCCGATGGACATTGACCAACACACATGCTGTGAGGGGTGATAGAAGCTGGCTGATATGCCTATAAACGAAGCAGTCCGTCCTTTCTTGCTCCATCAGTCTACACACAGGGTTATTTTCATGCCTCTTTCAGAATCTCCTTAACTTTCTGGGTTGCTGTATCCATTTGCAAAGCAGTCAACCCGTTTACTCTAGAAGCGCCAGGAGTATTACATTTGGGATCAAGTGTTTGGTTGAATTTTCCGAAGGCTGGCTAATCGCACAGTCTCGTGGACTTGCCAGACTGGATGAATAAATTAACCAGTGCTTCTTCTATTTTTTAAAAACTCATTTGAATTAGGTTGACATGTTTCTGCTCTTTTCATGCAAACGGCTAAAGTTGGTTGTCCTAACGTTACAGTTGACGTGCAGCTACTAATAGCTGGTGGCTGTCTCGCCTTGTCTTTATCCTGAATTTGTTTGTATTTCTTTGTGGGCGCTGTTCAGATTAACTTTGAGGTTGGTTGGCTTTTCCCAGTTCCACACATGCTGCTGATACTACAATAAATTTGCTTTTGCCCTTTCCAGCAATGTACTCAAAACAATCCCATACAGGGAGAAAGAGGAGGAAGGGAAGCGCTACTAAGGTACACAATAGTAAATGGTGGTAGACAGACATACAGGGCTTTACTTTTTGCTGCCGCCATTGTTCACACCTATGGTTCACGCTCACGCACACCCTCTGATTTCTTCCCTGTTAGAGCTATCACTAGCTCTAGCTAGTGATAGCTCTACTGTTAGCTAGTTATAGTGATGAACAAGCTAGCCTATTTGAAACATCGCCATCTACTGGCAGCATTTATCCGCCAGATTCAGAAGCTTGAAAACTTCATAAAAAAAGAAGATTGAAAACACCATTTAATTTTGAAGTTTTTAAGGGAAAACCTAAAACTAAACTATTTATGGTTTTTATTTTAGTTCGTTTTGCAGTCAAAGATAATACTTTCAGTATAGTTCTCGTTTTTTCAAATGTTTTTCTTAATAATTTTATTGTTTTCCAATTTTAGTTTTTATTTTAGTTTCAGTTTTCCTTTACTATAATAACCTTGCTGGAGTCCCAGAGGAATGGTACTAAAGCACATCCAGTCTATAGGCCAT